GATCAATAAAAAAACCAACAAGATTTAGACAAAACAAAAACAATTGGCATCAAATGTTGAAATCCAAAAATCTAATCGGCTTTAAACATTGAATGTATTCAAAGCCATTTTACTTTTACACATCTGCTTTCAAAATGGTCTTAAATGAGGACTACATTATCAATCAGATTTGATGATACAAGAATAGTTTTCAGTTAAATATCACAGATTTAAATCTTACATTTCTGTAAATGTTTCAAATTAGATAGTATGCAATCTTGCACACAATTCTGTGATATGTGCTAGAATATATATTCAGACCTACATGCAGTGTGTTACCAAAATATATAACATTAGTTAAACCCGAACCAAGTTTAGTGTGGACCTGTTTGCTTCGTCAGCTACAGGAACACCAGAAAACTAACGGATGAAGTAGGTGAGCATAATAATGAACTTGTTGACTGTTAAAGACAACAAAAATTAATCCATTTCCAAATAATATATTGAAACTGATTTCCCATTCCAAACAGAAAAATTATGCATTTCTAATCAATAATTTGTATATTAATGGTAATATAAATGTCATCTACAAATATTTCTAAAAGAAAATCTGACATTCAAGCTAATTAAAATGATGTATAATGATTACATTAAGTCTAAAGATGACGAGAGATGAATATAAAATTGCATTGTCAAAGTATTAAACATACTCGTGATAGAAATATTTTGTCCAAAAAAAAAATCAATCTGTGCTACATTGATTAAGTTCAACAAACACTAAGTACACTGCATTGATTAAGTTCAACAAACACTGCAAGTGCTCTGCATTGATTAAGTTCAACAAACACTGCAAGTGCTCTGCATTGATTAAGTTCAACAAATGTGAATTATTTAGTAAAACATATCAACAAAACAAATCAAATCCATACAAAAAAAGAAAAAGTTATATCATTGTTAATACTTGGTCATAAAATCTTGTAGATGATCATATAATATTACATTGATGTTGATAGTAGAATACCTAGTCTTAAACAGACACCGGTACAAGTGTTATGGATTTTACATGAAGCAGACTCTCCGGAATACAAGCACAAGTCATCACCAGTTGATAAGCTAATGTATTACTGATTGGAGATATTTTTCCATCAGTTCATGTCAACTATCACAAACCCAATATTTTTTAAAAATAAATTAGTTTTCTATAGTTACAAAGGAATGTACAATGTTTTTACATATATATATATTTTCTGTCTAAAGGCTTCTTGATAAATCATTTACCATCCAGAAGTATTAAGAGAACATCACAAGAAGAAAATACTGCACATCAGAAAAATCTAGGATGTACAGTGGACATTTAGCAGGTCTGTAACATAGAAACAGATATAAAAACTATATACACCACACACCTTCTCACAGTTAAAATTCCTTGAATATGATCAAGTTACAGCATTAATTTAGATGTTCAATTATAAACAAGCGCCTGTTAAATTAAAACGCCTTGTGATTTTTATACAAAATGCCCAAAAATGCTCCTACACAGAACAACACTAAACAAAGAGCGCATTCTAGACATAGAAGGTTGAGTTGGAATTTTTTTACTATTTTTAACAGGTGTTGAATATAATTTTCAATGACAACTATTTTAACATGTTAAAGCAAAAAGACGCTTATTATATTGCTTCTTCTCTACCATCTCATTTAATACCAACTTATAATCTTTACAATAAGCCACGCTGTGTATTGTTTTCATTGAATGATTTTAGGACCTATCATCAAGTGCAGGGAATTTTAGGGATTCTTTAACAAAACAGAATTGTCCCTTTTCTTGAATTATGACAAATCATGTTTTCTTAACAAACATATACTGATGAAAATAAATTCATAACAATGTTATTTGTATATCACAATACCATTTGAACTATATATTTCTATGTATTTTTGTTAACTTGACTTAATTCTAGATATGACTGGCTTACTGTCATGATCACCTTATTTTCAAGATACTTTTTTTCTGCGAGGGGTATATGCCTTAATTGAAGGTTCAGCTTACATTCCAGATTTTAGGGTGTTTCACGATCTCATTTTTCTTCTCAAATACTGTACTATTATTCTTCTTGATAAATTTTATAAAATTTGTCATTAAAGTATAACAAGATTTTACTGAATGATAAGTGATCACCTCTATAAATCTACTGGACATTCTGTGGCATTTAATAGAAACAGGTCATTAAGCACCAACATCGATCGCTTATATCTACAGCCCAATAATGCTAAATAATGCTGAAAAGTTCTAGCAAAATCATTCCTCAAAAGTGTACATATCATTTTCTTTTGCATCAACAAATGTATGACACAAATTGGTCAACAGATGTCAAAATTTACATTTAAAAGCAATAAGACCAAATCAAAGAAGGTAAATATATCAAATACAATAAAGGCCTAATAGCTTAGTCTAGTCTTACCTACACTTCACCATTTGGCATCAATATTGAAAAATGTAATTTAAGCATATTTTGGCCACTGAAGAATAAGAAATATAATTGTATATACTACTGCATAATTGTTTCTAAATCTAACATTCACAATAGTATAAATTAGACATTAGTGAAAAAAATGTTATACAGTATATTTTGCTCATGGTTCTTATCACACAAAAGAATCTAAATCTGATTTTTGTGATTCTTTTAGCACCTAACTGAATATAAAAATGCCACTAAATACAAAATACTCTGAAGTATATTGCCCTAGCTTTGAAAAAAAAATTAAATGCCAATTACCAAATCAGAACTTGACCTACATATCATTATTATAAAACTACACACCAAATTCCAGTTTTATCGCTGTATCCATTAAGGAGTAATTGAGATGGAATGAAATTACGACAGAATGGCAGACATGGCCAACACTATATGCCCCTTACCATGAAAAAGTAAGGGCATAATAAAATCTTTCCAGTACCATGAAGAAAAAATCTACTATGGTACATCTGATATCTCAGCACCAACAGGACAAACATACACCTTAGTGTCCAGAACAGCATTTCCTAAGAATCAGTGATATCAAATTTACTCTGATCATAAATTAATGCAGTAAGGACAAGATCACTTCTTCTACTTCTAATTTCTATTTTTGATTTCTGTTACATTTGGCTTGAAATGCTACAACTAAATTATCTTTTTGTCATAACACAAATAGCTGAATGCGATCTTTTTAATTAAGGTGTTTACAGAAGCTCCCATTCCGTTTACTAACTGCAGATTTTACAAAAATGTGTTGTGGTGAAAAATTTCACTTCATCATTCTCATACACATCAAGATTTTGCTAGGGTTCACATGAGTTTCTCTCTGTTGAGAAGGCACAGAACTACAGTATCCATAAAGTTATATACTCTTTAGGTAAGTTTTTCTTTCAAGTACAATATTTCTACTTTGAAAAATAAAAGTTCAGAATAGTTTTTATTTTGATGAAAGTAAAAATCATGTAGGAAAGTATATTAATAAGCCAAATTTATTAATCTTGTTACGTTTTTAAATGTTACACCACAATGAATTCTGATATGAAGGTGATCCAAGAGTTCAAATGGGTGTTCTAACTGTGCTTCCAAATTGCACGGTCTGACATAGACCAGTTCTGATGCATAAACAAACAATATTACCAAAATCTGTTATTGCTAAATGACAATCAATATAATTATTGTTCTCAAAGAACAGGAGATGAAGCATTGGCTGAAATAAATATCTTGGTCCCAAACCCTCGCTAACAAAGAGTTTAACAGATATTTGTTTTTAATATAGGAGGAGGCACCTGCCAAAGATCATTTATAAACCAAGTTTTATGATGACATGAAAACACATTACGAGACATTCAAAACATTTTGTTTACCACATTATCTAAAACATTACCCTTACAATTAAATATCTAATTCCTTAGTTTTCCATTTTTAATAGTAAGTGTAATGCCCAGATAAAACTTTTCTAAATTGTAAAATACTAAACTATCCTTACATGAAATTGAGTTTAGAACTGCACCTGAAAATCAAGATTTTTTCCATTCTGAATTCCAAACTGTATTGCTCAGTATCACATTTTCATATCAAAACACACAGTTCAATGATTGAAACACACAAATATTAAAATAGAACATCTAAACAGTATTAACACATAAACACAATTCATCAAAACACAAATTATCTGAAATTATAGATATATGTACAGTATAGTTTCCTTACTCTTCACAAATACAGATAAACTCTGCTGAGGACATGAAACAATAAAATTTGATATGGACTATGAAAGACAAACACAGGTCACACTCAGTGTCTAACCATATCTACACTTCAATATGAGAAAGGGCACACCTGTAGACTCTCCAAAAATAAACCAATCAATTTCTAGATCAGTTCAGAGAAATATCCAGAACTATTAAAATTTATCCATCAATTCATTAACTTGTTCAAAGACACTCATAAGTTATGAAATGTACACCAGACAGATATCTCAGATAAACTGAAGATCAGGAGACAGCACATAGTTGTCACATCTTCATCATCAATAGAGTAAAACTGGATCAACAGTTCTGAGAATTTTACAAGCAATCATCAGATATGTAGATTTAGTGTCTTAACTCCGATAAAAATAGAGAAAAGATGCACATTTATAAAATAAAATGATAATTTTCTTGTATTTCACCAAAAGTAAAACACTTTAGATAAGACATGTTTCCTCTTTTAACTGGCATCAAATAAGTGTTACAACGAAACAGTAATATAAACTCACCTTCTTTTTCTTCAATATTTCAGTTTTTTAACATTTCATTTCCCTAACCCTTGTAGAAAGTTAATGAACAGAAATAGGAGAAATTATATGTAAGATTTTATAACTACTTAGTGGATTTGAATTTTTTTCTTCATAAAAATAGTTTTGATTTTTTTTCTAGTGCATTACATAAATGTAACTTCCATGAATTGATGAAATTCCTCTTTCTGAAGTAATATGCACTGGTTTGATCAAGACAATCTTGGTCAACTGTCCGTCTCACATGAAGTACAGCATGATGGACACTGTACAGTCGCCTCATTTTCCTCAATCCCACGTGCAAATATCTTGATCAATTGACAATGAATTCTGCAAATACACAAAAACTGTGAAATCAGAATTTTGAATAAAATAAAATGAAATAAAAGCTTCAACTCTCAAGCATCATCCAATAAGTAAGCTTGCAAGTTTTGGATATGGGTAAATAGATATTAAACAATTCTAAAAAAACTCACTTGAAAGCAAATCGTAAAGAGAAATATTCCTTACCAAAGTTTACATCGCCAAGACTTTACCAGAAAGAGACAAAGATAACTTAACAAAATACAAGATGGCAGTTGTTTTTGATACAACTAAAATTTTACCAAATCAACTTAACTGTATAGTTACAACAAATTTAAATTGTGGTTATTTTTCTAAATAAATTTGAGAATCCACTTCAGAGAGCTTTAGGTAACCAATATTTTATAAAAACATTAATCACAAGTAAATATTATATTAAGTCCATGATTGTTTTACATTTCTCAAAGTGAAATGGGATCTTACTTGATATCGAGGTTGGTGGTTTCTAGGATTTCACCATCACAATTCCAAAGACTGATGTTTGGGTTGAAAGCATTCCCTTGGGACTGGCTGGTCCTTGTTAACCCTGCTGCCCTATTGCCATCCTCCATATCATCACATTGGCCATGTAGACTCCGGAATCGGAATTCTTTCACCCGGTATACTTGGACAAAGTCAAAGTCAAACTGCAATAGAAATTTCATACAAAGCTAAAATTACATCATATACACCCCCTGTACAATATTTTATTTTCATATAAGTTATTCTTAATCCATTAATTCATAGGTCATCAAAATGGAAAACGATTAAAATAGACCTAAATCATTGCACTAGTGAATTTTGTGAGCAAAATTTATTCCATGATATGAAATACTAACAAAAATGCATATTTTTATAAAATCACGAAATTTTAGTCCCATGGAAATACAATATTTTACAGTACCTTCAAAATCAGCCTATAATGCTTTCAGTTTAACCATTCTGCTTTTTGAAGACCTTCAAAGTTTTTTTTTAATTCATTTTTTGAATTATTCCTCATACATGTACATCTTTCTGTCAAGAATTTAGTTCAAGAAACTTTTTAAACTTTTAAGTAACTTTAAGTAAATTTAACTTTTAGTAGTGTTCCTTTTTTGTGGAAGAATGGTTTTTTTCCATGATTTTATCTGTGGTTTAAAAGAGCATAGACTTTTTTCAGTGGTGAAGTACTCACATGATCAGCATTCTTATCTTGACATCGTAGCAAATGTTTCAAGAATTTCGCCCTAGAGCATTCCGTTATAATCATTAAATCTGTTGTTCCATCTCCTAAATGGGCTCCTGGGGCCATTCCATAGGGAGTTAATGCATTACGACAACTCATAGTGAAGCTACTCAGCACCTTAAACTTTCCCCGTATTCTATGCCAGCCATCTGTGTCTGAAAAGATGTTTGAGAACACTGAAACTTCTGAAAAACTAGTCACAAAGAGAAAATAGATATGATGAAACACTATATATGAATAAACCAATGGTTTGACTCAATCAGGTTGGTTTGTTAGTGGTAGACTACTGAAAGGAAATTGTGATTCTAGAAATTTCATGACAAATTAATTATGTTTGTACATGTCATGTCTTCCTAGCCACAAAGCAAGCTATGATGTTTTCCTCACAAAAAAAATAACCATGCTGATTACTTTTATTAGACTTTACCTACAATGGTCAAAGTAAACCATGATTCAAGCAAAACGAAACCAGTGTACCAGTGAAGCTGATGAATACTCCCTGAAAACAATATCATATGAAACAAAATTTGACTTGGGTACACTCCACTTTATATCATCAATGTGTACACAAAGTTTCATGATTCTTCCTTTACTGTAGGCAAAGTTAGGGACACAAAATGATGGATGGAAAAACAGACAGAGTTGCAACTATTTGCCCTCCTGAAAATCTTCTGAGGAATGAAAATATCCGACATTTCAATTTTTTCCTCTTGAGTGCCAATGACAATATGTCACATCGACTACTAACCTGATAAAACTGACATGTGTCTGGTGGGGACTTTGTCCTCCTCTCTCATCTGAGAAAGACGGCATTCATTGCATCTACAAAAAGAATTATTGTTTCAAAGGAAGGAAAATTGTGCAGGAGCACCATCTACAGTGATAACTATCATACTTTAACAAAAATAGCAACTGAAAACAGCATTGGAAAGCTTTTGAAAATGTTCATTTCCTTTATCAAGCAAAGAGTCCCAGAGACTGAGTACTGATGACAGCTTCACTATTCAGCGACTGGATGAAAGTATTAATTCAGGTATAAAATTGTAATAATATTCCTACCAAACTATTGAATTGCATCCTCAGCATGCAAAGTAGTATCATTTCTAACTACAAAAAAATGGACTATTTTTGGTAACATTTTCTTTTTAACAGAATATTGTTATCAAATTCATAAGTTCAACATTTCTACAAAAGCTACCTGTAAATTATTTATTAAATATTGAATACTACCTTCAGATTATGCAAATGAAAAGGCCTTCATCATGTTTCAAAGCTGGGTTTAATTTAGTAATTTTACATTTGATCAAAACATTCATTTTTTTATATAGCTGCACCTTTCACACAATCTGGGTCAGAATTTTGATCAGTGTCCCAATATTCTGACATAAAATGTCAGGGCAGCAAGTGGGATGCTTTTCTTTGTACTTATTGATACCTTATAAAAACGACATACCCAGAAACACACACAGTCTTGTCCCTGGGACTGGAATCAGCATTTGGAGATAACCGTAGGGACACCTCCCCTTCGTAAGATTTGTTACCAAGAAATTTCTTCACACCTACAAGAAGTAGAACATAGAATTAGTCTGTGAAGAACTGTGTCTGAAGACTTTCCTGCTTTCCACCTTGGGATGGTACTTTGCAATATCACAGACTTGGTTCTCACATATGATTCCATGCATATATGATACGAGATGGAGATCCACCTTTATTTTTCACTATCTCAACTATTTACAATTCAGAACAAGCTTATATCTATTACTCTTCTTGGTCTGGATTGAAACATACAATAGATCTTATCGTAGGAGGGAACCACAGTACCCAAGAGAAACCATGTAATCAGACAGATGACCTCATACCCTTTTTTACATTTGATCAAGGAATCATTCTCCGAGTGTCTCAGTGAAGTGCGTTACCATTACACCATCCGACCACTGACTGAAATAAATTTGTCTTACAAGGTACAAAGGGTGTAAATTTTTCCACTCCCAATTACTAACCTGAAACATGATATCGCTTTGGTCCCATCCATCTGTTCTTTTCACTGTCCTTCAACATATCACCATAGTAACCATAGGACAACATTGTCACATTGTATCTCATCAGCTGATCTCCAGAGTACACACCCGCCACATCTAGTCCAATATTGTCACCTGTATAACACCATTAAGTTTCATATATATCAGAGTACACACCCACCACATCTAATCCAATACTGTCCCCTGTATAACACCTTATTTGTCAAAGAAAGAAATGCATTGTTTCACATTGATGGTGATATCTCAAAAAACTGAAAAACATAGATGGCAGTTACATGTATTGTAAAAGTGTTTCCAAAGTGTTTCCATGGTAACAGTTTTGGAACACCTAATATGTCCAATTATAGGTTGTAATTAGCTCTACCTCTGATCAAGATTAAACGAAAAGTGAAAGGGCACATCTATATATCATTGGGTTGTAGCATGCCAAGTTTGAGAAATACTGCTTCAGTACTTTAGTAGATACACTTGAAACTTATAATTAACTTATAATGTGAACATAAGTTATGAAGCGTTTAACTGTTATTTAAAATGAAATGATGGTAATGAACAAAAGAAAAGAATGATGTTAGTTTTAAACATACCGACAATAATGTGGAGAGCTGAGGTTACTGGGTCATTGATACCGATGGTCGTGTAAACAACTGCATCTGTTGATCCTGTTTAACAAAGCACAGAGTAACACATCATAAGTGACTTTCATTGTTTCATCAATGAATGTATATGTAGAACAAGGCATTCTTGCAGCAATTCAAATGCTATATTACAGAAAAATGTCTCTCATATCTGGTTTTGTTGGATGTTGAATTGCTTAGCGTCCTATCAACAGCAATGATCATTTAAGGATAGCCTCCATATGAAGGTGAAGTGAGATCTTTTTAAAAAGAGATCATCATGCTCATATCTAATGTCACATAAATAACAGAAGGATATTAGCCTTTGTTATTCTGAAAACTGTCTGATGAAGTTAAGCTTTCTCTAGATAAAAATTTACACTACACAAATAAAAGTCAATTTTTTCTAGACTCTGAATCTTAACCTGCATGAATGAAAATTGAGATCATGCCCTTAATTATTACTTCATAATTTTGTTACATGTTTATATCAAAGAAAGTAAATGTAAGCTTAACAGACTGAAGTTTTTTAAATAAAAAAAACTGATTCCACATCAACAGCTTACACAGCACAACAAACAATTAGCAGGGAATTTATTGCAAACTTTAAAATATTGTAATGTTATAATGTTTTTCATCACTTATGAAATGAATATCAAACCATTAACCCCTTTAACTAAAGCTTCTATATTGTTAACTTGTAAATAGCTCCTTCAATTTTCCATCAGGATTCACTTGCTAGGGAAAGCCCAGAACAACTAGGAAGCATGTCAATAGATACAAACTCTATATCACCTGAGACAGGTGTTATAATCTCCATTTCACCTGAAGCAAAAGAGACTATAAAAATGAAACAGAAGACCTACATGACTAGTGAGATGATAAAGGACATCCACAACTTATCTATAGAGATGAGACAGTGTTTTTACTTGACTAAGGAGACAAGACAGGATACTCCCTTCACTAGATTATACAAATAAGACAGGAAATTCACTCAACTTCAGGGATGAGACAGAAGACTTACAAAACAATGGAGATGAGACAGAAGACTTAATACTTGAATATAAATGATGAGACGGAAGACCTACTTGACTACCTAGATGAGACAGGAGACATAATACTTGAATTTAAGTGATGAGACATTTGACTAATTGACGAGACAGAAGACCCACTTGACTATGGAAATGAGACAGGATACTTAATTCTTGCATAAGTGATGAGACAGGAGACTCATTTGACTATGGAAATGAGACAGGATACTTAATTCTTGCATAAGTGATGAGACAGGAGACCCATTTGACTATGAAGAGGAAACAAGAGACTCACCTGCTGGGATGACTCCTATACGTAGATCTGGTGAAACTGGATCCTGGTCCTTACACTGAGGAAGTCCTAATTCCCTGTTCTTACGATCTATAAGGCCGTTCAGTAGTTCAGCAAACATTCCATCCCCTCCCACACATATCACACTATATAAAAACATGAGACAATAATCATGTAGCTGCTACAAGTACCTATTACATATTCAGAAAAGAAGATACAATGCATTTATGTTAATGCATCTTGTATGAACACAAAATCAATATACTTTTGATGCAAGTATTGTAATAACAGGGAAGTGCTGAGAGTGGAACAATCCTTAATCCTAGGCTAAGAAAATCTGTGCAAGATATGGTACTTTACAAATATCATCAGATCACAATTCTAGTTATAAGCAGCTGTGACCATAAAAACACTTATATCCCACACTAGCACTTATCTAAGCTTGTACTTCAATTCTTTGAAATAGTATATATTTAGATAAAATACATGTAATAACTCACCCATCCACTCTGGATAAATCATAGGTCTGTATGATGTCTCTGGCATGGTTCTGGCGCTGAGTAACTATAAAACAATAATTTACAAATCAACAGTGATATAAACCCTTACAAATTTTCTTTTACTATGATATAAATCTGAATATGCATCCTAAGTCTTTAGTTTGTGGGTAGCACCATGACCATAAGTTTATCAGTTACTAAACTGGCTAATTCTTTTATCATACCAAGGTACTGTTTAAGCGTTTGCTACTCAGTACTGGTATTCAACAGCAACCTTCTGGAATATATCACATAGCTGTCCAAGGTATCTGCACCTGGATCAAATATTTTGTAATTATACCATGAAAACGAATCCAAATTGTAGAACATCCAGCATCTTAATCAACTTACTGATAACATCAGTACGGATGCCTGCCATTTCAAACAATGGTGCCACTTTCTCGGAATAAATTTTTGGTCCACGTCTCTTCCCTCCAAATGGGTTCACAAATACTAGCAGACTTTCTGGTCTCTGCAAACCTGTAAATGACATGTGATTTTTGGCATTATCAAATTTATATTTACAATGCCTCAGAGAGGTGTTTCAAATCACATTTACAATTTAGATTGGCAAAGCCCAGCACAAACTGTAGTTTGAAGAAATAATGCCTTTCTTTGAGAAGTGGAAAAGAAATTCATTTTTATAACCAAATTTTCAAAAATGTAAGACATGAACAGAAATGTGGAGTGAAATCCAAAATGTTACATCCTGAACACATTAGAAAATAAACATAAAAAAAAACAAAAGAAACAAACACAACAAAAAAGTGATAGCAAGCCTTGTCATAAATATTTTGCTCATAATATAATCTAGACGGCAATGTACCTAGTTTCTCTATGGCACTCCTGATCCTGAACACCCATTGTTGACAGAGATAAGCTTCCTTGCTGGTAAATGTGATTGTTTTCACCTTCCACTTGAAGCGAGAAGATCGCTTGAAATAACTGATGGTGAATGACTGAGGCTTGAGAGGTCGCATCTCAATATAGACAGGTGAGCCATGGCTGCGTTGGTCATGGTTCAAATCATCGGTGTACGACTTTCCATAGGTTGGATTCACACAAAGAATCTCCTTCACTGGCACACAATGGGCAAAATGACCTGAAAATAGACATATGAATATGAAGTAATAAGGAATTGTTGACATGACTAAAGTTTGGTTGGTGAAGGAAAATTACCCTTAATTGTACAAAAATTTCTATTTCACGGATCCAGTAACCTAAAAACTGATTTCATGACCTTGAATAACACCTAGATACTGACCTATGACCTTGAATTATAAACTCTTAAGAAAAAATTATGATATCACTTAATGTAAATAAAAAGAAAGGAAAATTTGTAATAGCAACAAGTTTCTATATCTGTCAGGATGAATTACCTCTTATCCTCAAGCTTTTCATTCCAAAAGTGGTCAAGGGTGACCTATTATCTTAAAGCAGATGACAACCAACCATTAAGGTGTAGAATCTGATGGTGTGATGCTATTGTAAAAGTACATGTCTATATAAATGTGAACTAAATCCATTTAAAATGATTAAGATAAATGTGTTAGCCATTTTGGATTTTCGAACGGACAGACTTAAAAACATAACCCTAGATTGGGATCATTTGGGGATCATTAATGTAAGAGTCAACAAAATCCCACTAATTGAAATTGAGAGGATATTTGAAATGTGAAAAGTTTATGCACAGCGGATGGTAATGGATGAAAAACAATGACTATAGTCTTGCAAACAGGAAACAGAAAACAAATTTTAATGTTCCCTGGCTTTACTGTAAGATAAATATATATAAAATGTTCTGTAAAGCTGTACAGATTATTGTATAAGACATGTTTTATTATATAGGCAAACAGAAATTTTTGTAGGATATTTTCCAATAAGTCCATATTACCTATTCAAAAAATTTTATGAGTCTAAATACCAGAAGATATAGTGAGGTCTAAAAATTTGAATGAGTCTCACAGGAAAAGCATGAGTCAAGAGCTGAAACATCACTGAAGAAATGTATTCATTATGTGTTTTTGCATTCAATACAATAATATAAGAATTTGTAATACACAACGAGACTAGCTATATCTTACTGAAAACCTTAAAGGCATCACTATCACTACCTTAATCAAACAATATCTATCATATAAGTATGTAGTCTAGCTACAGTCTACAGCAGCATTTGAGTGGACATCATGGCAATCCTAGTATGTTTTCAAGCAGATAAAACTCCAGAAATAAAATGACATTATATCAATATTTTTTTTCCAAATTCTATTTAAACTACAAAAAGAAGCACCCCTAAGACATCCTCTGAATTTCTTTCTGAACAGTTCATTTAAACCACATGAAGAAGCCATTTGTATATGTCACACTAGCGACTGTAACTACACAATACAAAATTTATACTACAATCAATTAACAATAGTGTGTATACAAATAGCTGATACATATCGACTGTTTGAAAGGGTTTTCCTGTACTACAAACATATGAACTAAATAATACAGTCAATGTTTACACAGCATATCTATAGGAGGATATGATTTATAGTACTAAGGTCAATATTTAGAACAATTATGGCTCAGTGATCAATCTACAAGCGAGTTCCAAGTCCTGCACTCATAGAATTTCTGGAAATACTTGAATTTCTAATTTTGGGACCTGTTGTTTTAACAAGTGTTGAATAGAGTCCATGGAAATAAATGGTAGATTGATCACTAGTGTCTGGTCAGGATTTAATATTCACATTTTAACATGAAGAACCAGGTAATAATATATAGCTAAATAGTTAATATACTAATATAGAGCGTATACACTTATTTCAATTCCCTGTATACATTTCAATGATTTTATTTGTGTTATTAACTTCTGTATCAGTAAAATTCTATCTCATTATCAATTATCAAACTAAATATAAACTATCATGTAATCAACTTGTGCCATCTGATTTGTAAAACATGAATACTATATACATATATTTGTACTAGACCAGGCCTTTTTTCAGGGGCTCTAGATCTGTGGAGGAATACATGGGTCCCATTATCAATTTGATTAATTTCTTAATATGGCCAAATTCCCAAGATGTAAGATGTTCTAAAACTTTCCTTGCCAACTGATCATTTTTCCCAAAATGAGATTAATAGGATCTTTCCCTAACTGGGGGGTAGGACAGAGAAATCTCTATAGAGGAGGAGATTCTTGATTGTCTAACCATCGGTATAGTAGTTTTCATTTGAGGCCCAGATGACAATTGTTAGTGACCTCAATGACCTCAACCTGACCATGATACATCATAAAACTGACATCATTAACAATTACACCAACATGAAATGTCACTTCCTGTGCCTCAGACTGTCTTGCCAGGGTTAAGATTTCTCAGGGTAATATATCTCTATCTTACCCTGATGGGAGAGGGGAAAAAAAAGTCCATTCACAAATAAGTTCAAATCAAAGATTTTGCTAATAATTTGCATAATTGATTGTTGGGATTATCTGGTTTACATGGGTGTTAATGAAACATATATGTGAAGTCTTACCATTCTATAATTACTTACTCATCATAATAAGGATAGTCTTTGTGCAATTATGATATGAAATTGTGTAATGAAAGACTGTTACTCTTTGAAAAAGTACACATGCCTATATTCCGTGCTCTGCACACCAATTGCTTGCAAAAAAACAAGAAGATAATACCAACACTAACCTAATCAAAATATACACTAAAATACAAAGTTGGGGCCTCAGTTTGTGTCAACTGGCATGCACGCAATGTGAGAGCAGGTCATGAAAGAAAATTTAACTCACAGATATCGTAATTGTCTAGTTTGTGATGATTATACTGCTCTTAAGTGTGATACACATATACCTGTGTACAGTCAGCTATCCGGCAACCAGGAAAATTTCTAATTTTTACAATTATTAATATGAAACTTGGACAAAAATGTCAATATGTTCTTTGAGCATTTAAGGCACGAGTATCAGAGGATGCTTCACAAATACCAATGGTAATTGTATAAAACGTACACACGTGCCAAACTGTCATTCCTGGTACGGTAAAATCATCATAACTCTGTCATTGTCATGCAAGAAACTGATACTTCGTATATTAATGTACTAAGATCATATCTATTGATGTCACTTTATTGTTTAATATATTAAGACATAAATTTGAAGACCCTGACCTCCAGTGTTATACACAATGTACAGTGTCTCGAACGATCAAGAAAATCTAACTCTCCATTACTCAATCAATTTTACAAATATCAACATGAAACAGTAAAAAGGAGTATTGTTTGTGATCATATCTATGATGCTGCTTACCATATTGATTATTTTCAAATATATTTTCTGAAGAGTCTTTACGACTCTACTGTTGCTGATTATCACTTTTGTGTGTTCTGCTATAGTGTTCCGCTTCAGACAGTCCTCTACAAACCACAGCAATGCTAGTTCATGCTAGACGCAAGTCTCAATCTGAGTATTTTCATGAACACCTAGTCTGTCAATTTTGCTAAGTTTTTAGTATTATATTTGATTGTCTCATAGCGAGAGTATGCATGCATGACACTTTTCAGAAAGATGGCAGCATTGTTTATAGCATACAACTGATGTAACTGATAATCTGTAGGCAAAGTCCCACCAACAGCTAGTTCCAAAGGCTGTGAAAAGAGGCTGAAACCTGAACTGTGTTACAATTAACTGTTATATCCCAGTATTATTCAGTAATTATAAGCTTATGCCTTGAAATTAGCACAATCACACCTGTCTATATAGCTTTATTGTAGATTTATAAAGGTGTAACAAACAAATCTTGAATCAAAGTGCTATAATTATCATAGGATAAATTGATTGTCTGTGTTTGAGACAAAAGTAATGTGTTTGCCCCTTGTCTGAAAGGTTCTCACTATTTTTGTCTTGGTCACATTCAATAGACTATCAACTTTGTACTTGTGTCAGACAATGTAAAGAATCAATATAGCTCTCTGAAAGTCATGATCAGTTGATCATGGATATATTTTGTCAACAAAACAAAATTCTGCAGCACCTATTGGAATTTTAGAATTTTTGTTTTATCTGCCCTTCAAAATGTCTAACATCTAGTGAACTGTGAAATAACCAGAGTAAACTTGATATAAAGCTAGAAAACATAAATTTAAGAAATGATGATAAACAGAATTTTGGAATTTTTATTTCATAAGTCATAAGTTTCAACATGAAAGGCCTGTTTACCATTTAAGAAGAAATAGTTGTTTTGAATGAATCTATAAGAGCACTCCCTAAAGTGTTCAGGGGGAGACCATTCCATTTTATGAAGATTTTTGACAAAATTGGGTTTTACACAGGTCTAGTGATAGGATGTCCATTTTCTGGGATGACAAGCAGATACATGTACTTAGTAATCTTGTGTTATATCATAAGGCATGTATCAGTTCTCTGATCTGTCACTTTTTCTGAAGAAAAAAGTTTGCGTCTGTTAGTAAAATTTTCCAATTTTATATCATGAGATCTATATATGGTATATAGGTTACTGACAATATATACAAATTCTACTGAAAACCTCTTAAATAAGGGCTTTATGGCACATATCATTTACAAATGTTCAAGGGCAAACTACTCAGGTCTGACTGAATGGTTTTGTCTAGATATTTTGCCTTGTCAACATGATATATGGGATATCAATGTTTCAGTATCATGTTCTTTTGTATTATTCTGTAACGTAATGAAGGAAGGCTACAATAAGTATTTAAATTACCTCCTTCTGTCATTTTTGTCTCCTTTTTCCCCCCAGGGAAAGTAAATGTTTCCCCCAATGATGAGCCCCTCACATTGAGATACTTAATTAAAAGAACAAACCAAGATGTGTAACCAAAGTGGGAAAGACATTTGATTTACAAAAGCCATGATCAACTTTAATCAATTCTGGTGGTAAGCATTATTCTAAAAGCAACCAGGTCTTGTTTTTTAAACCAATATCCACTATTGAAATTTTAAATGATAATGAAAACATGTACTGAAACGACTTTTTAGAGGCTTGCATTTTATTTCCTAATAAGTACCGTCCAACTACATACCAGACCCCGGAACACAAGCATTTTCTAAGAGTTTAAAAATGAAATTCAAGTTTCGTTTTCATATCAGAAGTGCATTCAACAATAGTATGCAAAGAACTCTAGTCTGTCGGGAGAGTTCCGATCCTGTCTTTCAACTCAAATTTTTCTATAGTAATTTCCTTGTTGATGCGATGAATGGACCGTGGTAAATCCCCAAATCATGACAATTTAAAGAAAATTCACAGTATGTTGTGACACTTTTGCCATGTTAGAAGTGCTACTGACGCGCATTAATTATTGAGACGACCACCGAAGCTGCGTATAACTGGGACCCAAATAACAGCCATAGGTCTATATTGACATCTGCAGAAAATCTTTGTTTACATTTTTTTCTCTCGCTGTTTTCATACACTTACGGAATAACGGCTCCTCTTGTGGACATTTTGCTGGTTGTCGATTGTAGATGTTTTCCCAGAAAATATGTGTTGGCGTAAGTTTGACCTGGTGAGTTGCACCGTGGATCTCTAATGTTGACTGGAAAGTCGCATTGTCGTCGTCTTCTGCCATTTCATCTCCAATGTCTTTCTCTGTACATTAATGCGCATGCGCATGTTATGTAGTACTAACCATAAGTATGTGAACCACAAAAGCAGGTTCAGATGGTAGACACCTAGATAAACCAGGGACGTATAATACATACATATATATACGTCCCTGAATAAACGTACTACTTAATTGGTGTGTTATAAACGATCTACGATTAAAATATATATATTTGGTATCAATAAATGTTGAGGAATCGATAATATATATAAGTCAGTGAAACCATACAAAGTAGGCAACCATAGGCCTACATCAATAATCAAACAGGTTTGTTCGTGTGCATGATTACATGACTGTCTGTCTTACTTCCTATTGTGCGTCGATGCTACAAAAGTGAATGTTGCTATTACGTAAACTTGCGTGTCAAAATCAATGAAATTGCTATTCATATATATTAGGTCCTCTTTCACCAAAGGTACCAGCCTCGTATGTCAATACACTTAGTGTTAGTACATTGTATGAGTGAATTGACAGACGAGACGTGTACATGCAGTCATGTGGTTTTTACAGTTCTTTCCCTAGTTTTTCTATTAATTTCATTTTTATTCGCAGAACATGGAAACCACACCGACCTGCTACTTTCACACAACGGAAAGAGAACGCTTAACTAATCAGACAATGTGGAGTCGCGATAATCGTGTGTACCATCAAACGGTCACCTTATACTACTTATAATCCGGAGTTTTAGTTAATTTCCAGTGAAAGGTTGAAGAAATCTGTGATTTTGCTATATGAAATTAAGCAATCTTCACTTCCTTTCCCATAGGATGCGGGGTTGCGCTGTAAGACTCTTGCGGGGTCATGACCCTTAAGACACCTTTCGTCAATGAAGAGTATATTGTCACACAATACCTAGGTCATCTTCGCTAGCCAAGGTGTACCTAGGTCTAAAGAAGTGTTTTTTTGAAAGAGTTGAGTCACCCCTTCTGCAACCGCCCCTCTGGCCTCTGGGGTTAGGGACCATATAAATTGCAATTTTGTTTCACTGTTGACCCCCAAAGGTCCCTGCAATCTTTTGTTAAAACTGTTTCTGGGTTTTAGAGAAGTCGAAAATGTCGATGTTTCCCGGACGGCGACGAACAAAAAGTGATTTCTTGCATCATAAGTCCGACATATTGCATGTTGTCTGTAATGTCTGTTGGTTTCACTCTAACTAACCAACTGGTTTATTACAAGTCCGACATATTGCATGCTGTCTGTAATGCCTGTTGGTTTTTCTCTAACTAACCAACTAGTTTATAACAAGTCCGACATATTGCATGCTGTCTGTAATGTCTGTTGGTTTTTCTCTAAATAACCAAATAGTTTATAACAAGCCCGACATATTGCATGCTGTCTGTAATGTCTGTTGTTCTACTATAGTTAACCAAATACGAGGACTGATTGATAAGTTGTGAGCCTCATATTTAAAAGTTTGACTTTTGGCGGACATAATGCGTTATTTGTTTTAAACACAATCACTTTCAGTCTTCTAACATGATGTTTGAAGGCCTCAATGCCACTTTTAAAGAAGTCCTTTTCTTGACAGTTCAGAAAGTCACTGCATGTATGACATAATTATCTGACCGAAAGTGAGTACCGGAAACGACATTTTTCAATTTTGGATATAGATGGAAGTCTGATGGAGCGAGATCAGGTGAACATTACAGATGCTCAGTCAATTCAAAGTCAATGCCACAATCGTTAATGGCAGCCATGGCAATGACAGACTTGTGAACAAGGGCATTGTCCTGGTGCAATAATATACATTTGCCGAGTTTCCCCGCGCCGCTTGAGATTCATATCTCTCTTAACTATCTAAGAAGTGATGCATAATATGTGCGATGGATTGTTTATCCCTTTCGCAGACAATCTACCGCCAGAGTTCCATCAGCATCCTAGAAAACAGAGACCATAACCTTTCTATGGAACAGTCTTTGCCTTCTTTCGTGGGGATGAGCCATGGTGCTTCCATTATTTAGACTGTTGTTTGGCCTCTGGGGTGAAATGATGGACTCGCGTCACAAATCTCTACAGAAAGTTTGAAGGATCTGCCTCTAAAAGGTTCAGATAAGCATGCGACAAAGTCCGTCGGGTGTGCTTCTGGTCAACTGTCAGAATTCTTGGTACCCAATGGGATGAGAGCTTTCTCAGTGCAAAATCTTCCGTAAGGATTGGAATGTATTCTTTCCTGTAAGATTCTAACTCTACTGGTTATTTATCTTTCCGTTACTCGTCTGCCAGCCATAACAATATCATGGACTTTACTGACCATTTCGGGGGTTGCAACAGTGACAGGCCCTCCAGGAAGGGCGTCATCCCCAAGGCTTTTCCTGCCACGCGTGAATTCCGCTACTCACCAGTTCAATGTAGCATGTGAAGGAACATTATTCCCTTGTGTTGCTGCCATATCACTATGGATTTCCTTAGGCTGTAGATATTTCTTATGCAAATATTGAATCACTGCTCTTTTAGCGAATTTGTCCATTTTGTTAAAGTGAGTTACCTTGTTTATTAAGAGTGCTTCCTCTTCGAAATAAACTGACCAAATTACACAACTCTTGGGAAACAAGTCTTAAATAGTCAGGGAATAGCAGAGCTGAAAAGGGACACCCCTGCTTAACTCTTCAATACAAGGCTCATAACTTATCAATCAGTCCTCGTGGTTTATAACAAGTCCTACATAATGCATACTGTCTGTTATGTCTGTTGGTTTTACTCTAACGGACTAGTTTAAAACAAGCCCGACGTATTGCATGCTGTCTCTAATGTTTGTTTGTTTTGCAGTTACCAACTGATATCTCAACTTGACAACACAAACCAAAAAAAGGATTTGCGACGCTATCATCTGTCTCACGTTCTCTTTCAAGAATTTTCTTTGTAATTGTTTTTTATTGTGCGTGGATTTTGAGTTTAAATAATAGTTTTGTTCTGCATACACGGGTTTATCAATTATTGTATCAGTTAAAACCATTTGACATTTAAAAGATTAGGCTCTTTATTAACCGTGAATCTTCATACATATTAATCTCGGACCAACCATATAATCGTTACGCCAACCACTATCCATAGCTCGCCAGATCCAGGCACATTCTCAAGGCGTCAAATTTTAATTTCCCCACTTATGCAGCGGCCAAAATATAGCGTGTATCCTAGTCCGAATTGTTGGTCTTGGCACCATACCTAGAGAAGCCCAAAGAACTCGTATCGCTCAGCTGTGTATTTCTGTTTTCAAAAATATTTTGTTCATAATTTTAATGTTAAGAAGTTTACTAAAGATTAGGAATTTTAAAGTTTCAAGCCAGTTAATATTTGGATCAAAACACCAGGGCTTTTACAAAAGCTAGTCTCATTTACTGAAGTCTGTCCTAAATCAGCGTTGGTCAGAATTCCTTTATCCCTACAGAAGAAGACTCATCAGTTCAACAAAAATGTTTCTCTTTTTACCCAAGGACGTTACAGTATAAAACTTGCACATTTTGTACCTATTAGAAGAAGGATTGGTATGACCCATATATTTCTCCTATTGGGACCCGGTGGATCAAGATTTACAATTTATACAAAATTGAGTCCCCTTCATACCAGAATGCTCTAGATCAATATGGTTTCGTCTCAAAACAAGAAGAAATACTTTAACACTATATCCTTGCTTCCTAAGGCGGTCAAACCCACTATTCATACAAAAATGTTACAAAAACTGAGACAAAATCGTGTCACTTCAGTCACAAAAATAAAGAAAATCATTTTAAAGCTTTACCCATATAGTTCCTAAGTCAGACCCATCGGCCTTCATTCATGTCTCTAGCTATTTACATACGGAGAGTCGCCATTATTGGACTCATGATGTGAAAAATTTTGTTCTTTCTAATCCGCCATGCGTTAATGTGTAGGACCTATAGTTAGCCATCTTACTTATCCAATCTTCATTTACTACACACGATTCTAATTGTGCAATTAGTGTGTCATCATATGAATTGACAGACACTTTGACGTTTTCCTTACCACACCCGTGATTCTATCGTAAGTTAAAAAAATTCTGAACGAATATCAAAGACATGTTATATAAAGGACATTAGGGACGAAATTTTGGAGCAATTACGTATTAGACTTGCAAAAAGGAGAAGAAAAGGAAAAATTATAAGAAAATTATAGAAAGAAATGGATTACTTGTTGCTTCACCGTCATGCAATTAAGGTACAACTTTTAAAATACCTACTGTGTAAATACCTGTTGATCTTAAATTGCAATGCAAACTTTATAAACATTGTTATATAAACATCGTGAAATAGAATTAGAATGTTCAATAGCAATTAAACAAGACTGTACAAAAGACTCACAGGTGAATAGAATATTTTATGAATTTAAAGTTAAATGCAGTAGAGTCAAACATTGTATTTAACTAAATATAAACTTTATTTGTTTTACAACAATTGCGAAACAAGTTATTTAAACTTATACTAATCACTCTTGTTGGCCCGGATGTAAGCGCGCGAGGGGCCTTATTGTGGGAGGAAACCGGAGTACCCGGGGAAAACCCACGCGGTTTGCGCCACCCGACCACCCACCTACGTCGTATAGCGGGGGGAGGGGGGTACAGCAACCCCATAATTAAACACATTTCATAATTTTCATCATATAAAAGACGATTTTAGAACAGTGTCAAGTACATGTATATATTCTGAACGGAGCCACTCTTCGAATGAATCAAAACATAGTATATAGTTTACGGCAAACCTCGGGGACTTAAAAGTCCACCAGCAGTGTCTACCCGTGACCTGCTATCTTAATGCCTGTACAAAAGACACGCACGTGAATAGCACCTTTTCATAATTTAGAGGTTATCATATACATAATATAAAAAGTCAAACTGAACGAAGATCCATCTTTTTAATAACTGTTTAATGAATAAGCAGTTACGTAATATCACTTCAGTAATACTGGATAAACGAAAAAGTTAGAAGAGACAAACATTCCACTAAAACATAAAAAAAACATTGTACATTTTGTCGAAATGAAATAAACAGTTATCAAAATATGATAAAAGATCCATGCGTATTTATTTACATAAATAACAAAGAAGATTATTCATTCCATGTTGATTCCCAATAACTATTGTATAATTACATTCTGAAGAACGCATGAAGGAGTTACAGGTGTTTACTTAGCGATATTGCTCAATACCATTATATTTTAGTGGGATAATATATATTTACTATGATATATTTTATATCGACAATAGATAACACTCCTAATGTCAATTTTCAACATGTATATGATAGGGACGTAGATCGTATTTTCCATAAGGCGATCAAATCAGTAGTCGCAGATATGATTGGTACCACAAATCCACGACCATGACCAATAACGGCGTTAATGAACAACGTACACGTGACTCGTCATAAACCTTGGTTGAACAATAAAAACCTATTTTCAAGTGACGCAGAAGGAGGATGTCTTTGCTCGTTGGACATAGGCTGGTAAGAGACACTGTCTTGCTCACTTTTGTAATCATGTTTGTCCATTCGTGAATCCGCCCTCCACTCATGAATGGGACAGTCCGCATGTACTAAATGATCAGGCTGGATGTCCTCTTGCAAAACACTGGTTTCAGATCTTCCAATATTATGCTCTGCATTTCTAAAACTAATTGTGTCATGTACGGCACAGTTGTACGGATTTCCTAAGAGACGATCACATTCAGTTTTAACTTGGTCATTGCAATATACCTTTTTATATGATTCAACAAAGTTCTTGAACGATGGGGAATTATGAAATTCTTGTATAGATTCTGATGATACAGGACTTACGGAGAAACAATGTTGACAAAACGATTCTAATTCTGAAGTCAAATCAAATTTGTGAGCTCCGTTAAATTCCACGGGTATTGAGGTTTTGTCTACAAGGTCTGACGAAAAAACAACAGTTAGATTAACATCATCTTTGCTGGTAAAAATAGTTCCATTTGTTACTGAATCTACAAAACGATCTCCTTCAGACTCTGTGTGAGACCATATCACAATTACTTGATCGCATAATCTAATCGCGTTCTTCATCAACATATGTTTTTGAACATCTGTTTTCGTGCCAAGCTCAACGGAAATAAACTCTACCGATGGAAAATGCGTCTCTACAAAGGTAACAAGGGACTTGGCCATCTGTTGGTCTTGTTGTCTGTTCAGCAACAGTATCCTGGTCATGTTTCCCTCTGAAACAATACCATGACATAATTAAACTGCACGAGTGAAACCTTTCTGTCAAACATGTTGATATGGAGGAGGTTGAGATAGAATTCGTCAGAAAAGACGTCAAAGAGCTGTCTGGTACCAAAAGCATAATTTCTTAAACCAATTATTTTAACAAGAAGCCCACGTGCCTTAATGATCTTTTGATTCTAAAAACAATTATATAGCAACTGTAGTAGTAAAACAGTTAATAAATTATTGAAACAGTTCGGATTATTTCAGCAGTAAAGGAAAACAACACTCCTCATTTCAGCATTTCAACATTCTCACAAAATTTCAGCTCATTGGTACCAGTGGAATCGAGAAAAATATGGTGGCCATACTGGATTTCGGACCCACCTGAAAAGCAACTCTAGGTCGGGATCCCAAATATGTGTTAATTAGGGAAATCATGATTGCACAATCCTGTCACAAAATGGCCGCCATGGCTGCCATATTTAACTTTTGACGAGGCTGAAAAATTACATCGTTTTGTTGGATTTCTTTCTTTAATATCTACACCGATTTTCAGCTCAATGACACTAAAGAATCTTGAAAGAACTTCAACATGTGTTTTTCAAGATAGCGGTCATGGTGGCCCTGTTGGATTTCAGACCGACCCGAAAAATTAGCAATTCTTAGTCAGGACCCTCTCATGATCATTTCAGGCACGTTTCAGCTCAATCCCACTGGTGGAACTTGAGAAGACGTTTCAATTAGGTGTTTATTCAGGGAAACCATGACTGCACAATCATGTTACAAAATGGCCGCCATAAATGACATATTGAAATTTTAACGAGGCCAAAAAAATAACAAAACTTTGTTGGCTTTCCATCTTTAATAACCTCAACAATTTTACGCTCAATGGTACAAGAAGAACTTCAGAAGAATTTTAATGGGTGTTTTTCAAGATGGCGGCCATATTGAATTTCGGACAGGCCCAAACAACAACACTTGATAAGGACACAAAATCAAGTTCATTTTAAACAAGTTTCAGCCCAATTCCATTGTGGAACTTGAGAAGAAGTTAAAAATGTGACAAGTCTAAGACGGACGACACATGACAATAGGTCATTCTTGCCTTTAAGATCAGATGACATACAAAAATAACTAACTTGTCAAATATAAAACAAGTCGATTTCTGTTTTGATCGGCAGCACAAATCAAGATATTTAGCATGATTTTAACCATATTTAATCAGCATCGTTCTAATATTACCTCGTGATATCTTGTGGACGTCGTGTTTGATGAGACGGATCATTCTGTATCTGATCAGGAACGCGGCAACAGCTATCACAATACACGTGAACACAGTACCTATGACGTAAGCCAAGACTGGAAAGAAGTATTCATCATCCGCATCTACATGATCTACAAAACATCAATCGTGAAATTTACAGACAACGTATTTACGACAACGCATTGGTGAACATCGTAGTATATTTGTGATTGAGGGAAAGCATCGCATTGTGAGTAAGAAACCAAATATTAGTATAGGAATTTCTGGGATAAAGCGTCATAGTTAAATTTCAACAACTTAAAACGCAGGGTTCCGATATAAGCTTTATGGTCGTCATAATGATTCTATAAGAATAAGAAATCTGGACGTGTTTTTTGTCGTTAGTATGTCTGGTGGTTCCGTTGTTGTACATATTGATCTCATTTGGGAACATGACACTTCTTATTTGAATCGATAAAGATTTTCATGTCAATGTAGAAACAGACGCGTACCCTTCTGGAACACCTGATCTTATTCCCATTGTCCTCTTCCAAGGGATCTCAATGTAAATATTCCTCTTGTTTATATTTGTATTTGTTTAATCAAAATATGAGTCTAAATTTACATTTTTGAAGATTTCAACAATGACATACTTATTTACACATATATCTAATATTAACAGTAGACTCCAATCAATACAACACACGTAGTGTGCCCAATCAACTATAATGACTTTTCAAATTTTGTTTATTCATCTATTTATTTTATAGTTCTGCTTATATTAAAAAAGGATCTACACTTCCATTTCTTAAATGGTATCGCATGTTTATAGAGAATACCTTCAATTTTTTTAAGTTCGTTTAGACACCCGTCGTCCATATTTCCCGGTAGGCTCACACAAAAAGGATGAGAGAGGTATTTGTTTCCCGCAATTTCGACCTGTAAACCATATACATTAACGTTAACTATCAAATCTTAAAACTTACATACATTTACTATTTCTTATCGATGACAATTGACGAGATATCAAAACAAAACCATTATCACCATGGTCCTTATGTATCTTAAAAGGACAATGCTGTTTTATCACAGTTTTTAAACCCCGTGTGATATACATAGTTGAACAAAAACCAAGGTTGTCTTCGTTTTATAACCGTGGAATGAATCCAATTCACAAATTTAGACCATCTAATACCAGTCGCCTTTTATTATCTTTCGTCAAAATTGTTCCGAGTATAATTTTATCAATAGGAAGAACGTAATCAGAGCTCCCAGGATATAATTTACACTGTCTCAAATTCCGAAGGCGAAGACTTTTCACCTAACATAACAACATCTATATCAACACATCAGACACCTAACAAACCGGAACTAAATAAAAAATGTGAGCGATGCCCTTTCAAATTCCCAATAACCTAGTCAGATATAAATATATTGCAGTGTCCTTTGTCAACAGAAATTAATTTCCAAATTATATCGCTGTTTGCCATTACACATAAATCTACTCGTGAAATAAAACTTGTCACCAAAACCATTTTATCCTTACATTAATAGTACTTTATTAATTCGCTGATCTATGACAATATCATAAATTATACGCTAGGTGTACGATAAAGCTGACTGTTATTGCAGACACCGTTATTGCAACGATAGACTTCATAATTTTGATTAAGTTTTAGCATACAAAATGGAATTATTATTAGTAACAGACATACCACTGCAGTATACAGTCCAGCTCTCACATTTTGAAACGTGACACTATTTCTGTGTAAAGGCACCCTCTGAAATGGAAAACTATTGTTTACACAGATTCACAGCTGACAAAATATCTATATAGGTCGGATGCATTTTGTTTTAATCATGACCGTATATTTTTAACAACTGAAAAAAGTGTTCAAGTATGTTCATCGACATCAGCTTTCCTCTACCTCCCAAAACTGAAAACTGGCACGTCCTTAAATGACACTGGCTGTTAATAGGACGTAAAAAATAATGAAAAACTATTCTTGTATATCATGTTGTATCACCTGTGTAGTGATAATACTTACCTGTCTATATAAAGTTTGTGTCTGGTTGTATCACCTGTGTAGTGATAATACTTACCTGGATCACCTGTGTAGTGATAATACTTACCTGTCTATATAAAGTGTGTGTCTGGTTGTATCACCTGTGTAGTGATAATACTTACCTGTCTATATAAAGTTTGTGTCTGGTTGTATCACCTGTGTAGTGATAATACTTACCTGTCTATATAAAGTTTGTGTCTGGTTGTATCACCTGTGTAGTGATAATACTTACCTGTCTATATAAAGTGTGTGTCTGGTTGTATCACCTGTGTAGTGATAATACTTACCTGGATCACCTGTGTAGTGATAATGTGTAGTGATAATACTTACCTGTCTATATAAAGTGTGTGTCTGGTTGTATCACCTGTGTAGTGATAATACTTACCTGTCTATATAAAGTATGTGTCTGGTTGTATCACCTGTGTAGTGATAATACTTACCTGGCTATATAAAGTTTGTGTCTGGATGTATCACCTGTGTAGTGATAATACTTACCTGTCTGTATAAAGTGTGTGTCTGGTTGTATCACCTGTGTAGTGATAATACTTACCTGTCTATATAAAGTTTGTGTCTGGTTGTATCACCTGTGTAGTGATAATACTTACCTGTCTATATAAAGTTTGTGTCTGGTTGTATCACCTGTGTAGTGATAATACTTACCTGGCTATATAAAGTGTGTGTCTGGTTGTATCACCTGTGTAGTGATAATACTTACCTGTCTATATAAAGTGTGTGTCTGGTTGTATCACCTGTGTAGTGATAATACTTACCTGGCTATATAAAGTTTGTGTCTGGTTGTATCACCTGTGTAGTGATAATACTTACCTGGATCACCTGTGTAGTGATAATACTTACCTGGATCACCTGTGTAGTGATAATACTTACCTGGATCACCTGTGTAGTGATAATACTTACCTGACTATATAAAGTTTGTGTCTGGTTGTATCACCTGTGTAGTGACAATAATCACCTGGATCACCTGTGTAGTGATAATTCTTACCTGGATCACCTGTGTAGTGATAATACTTACCTGGCTATATAAAGTTTGTGTCTTGTTGTATCACCTGTGTAGTGATAATACTTACCTGTCTATATAAAGTCTGTACCTGGTTGTATCACCTGTGTAGTGATAATACTTACCTGTCTATATAAAGTTTGTGCCTTGTTAACCTTGACTAATCCAACACTGTACATTGTGGTTCTGCCGCCGGTCTCGAACACCACAGTGACATCACTGTTCTTTAACGTTGTGGCTATTACTGGAGGCAGATAAGGATCACTTCGATCTGAAACGTACCAGAACTGTCCATCATCTTTTAATAATTCATGAATCTATAATAAGTAGAAACCACAGGAGGTATTTCTTGTGAGCGCGGCATCAAATATCACATTTCATTTGTATACCAGTGTAACGAAAGTATACTGTGTAAATAAACTGTTTCCTACAAATAACAATTGATCATTTTGAAAGTCTGTGGTTGTGACTTTTGTGTACTTACTGTTCGGGGAGGTAATCGTGTACACTGATCGAGTCATCAAACGAGAACCCGGCTCGTATGCGAAAGTGGTGATTTCTAATTCATATATCTTTACCGAACAGGCATCCAGATTGTCTATACATCTCACCACAGCTTGTCTCTACATCAACGGAAAGAAACACAATTAATTGGTGATAAAAATATATCTAATCGTATAAATAACCAGAAAAAATGCTAGTCTGATATCAGAACCGTTTGGATGAATAAAATGATGAATGGTTATACTGATATCACAATTATACATGGGGGTGGGGTGGTGGATGGTTATACTGATATCATAATCATACATGGGGGTGGGGGTGGATGGTTATACTGATATCACAATTATACATGGGGGTGGGGTGGTGGATGGTTATACTGATAGCATAAGCATACATGGGGGTGGGGGTGGTGGATGGTTATACTGATATCATAATCATACATGGGGGTGGGGGTGGTGAATGGTTATACTGATATCATAATCATACATGGGGTGGGGGTGGGGTAGTGCATGGTTACACTGATATCATAATCATACATGGGGGTGGGGTGGTGGATGGTTATACTGATATCATAATCATACATGGGGGTGGGGGTGGGGGTGGGGGTGGGGTGGTGGATGGTTATACTGATATCATAATCATACATGGGGGTAGGGGTGGAGTAGTGAATGGTTACACTGATATTATAATCATACATGGGGGTGGGGTGGTGGATGGTTATACTGATATCATAATCATACATGGGGTGGGGGTGGTGAATGGTTATACTGATATCATAATTATACATGGGGGTGGGGGTGGTGGATGGTTATACTGATATCACAATTATACATGGGGATGGGGTGGTGGATGGTTATACTGATATCATAATCATAAATGGGGGTGGGGGGTGGATGGTTATACTGATATCATAATCATACATGGGGGTGGGGTGGTGGATGGTTATACTGATATCATAATCATACATGGGGGTGGGGGTGGGGGTGGATGGTTGGATGGTTATACTGATATCATAATCATACATGGGGGTGGGGGGGGTGGGGTGGTGGATGGTTATACTGATATCATAATCATACATGGGGGTGGGGTTGGGGTGGTGTATGGTTATACTGATATCATAATCATACATGGGGGTGGGGTTGTGGTGGATGGTTATACTGATATCATAATCATACATGGGGGTGGGGTGGTGGATGGTTATACTGATATCACAATTATACATGGGGGTGGGGTGGTGGATGGTTATACTGATATCATAATCATACTGATGGTTATACTGATATCATAATCATACATGGGGGTGGGGGTGGGGGTGGGGGTGGGGGTGGGGTGGTGGATGGTTATACTGATATCATAATCATACATGGGGGTGGGGGTGGTGAATGGTTATACTGATATCATAATCATACATGGGGGTGGGGTGGTGGATGGTTATACTGATATCATAATCATACATGGGGGTGGGGTGGTGGATGGTTATACTGATATCACAATCATACATGGGGGTGGAGGTGGATGGTTATACTGATATCATAATCATACATGGGGGTGGGGGTGGTGAATGGTTACACTGATTTCATAATCATACATGGGGTGGGGTGGTGGATGGTTATACTGATATCATAATCATACATGGGGGTGGGGTGGTGAATGGTTATACTAATATCATAATCATACATGGGGGTGGGGTTATACTGATATCATAATCATACATGGGGTGGGGTGGTGGTGAATGGTTATACTGATATCATAATCATACATGGGGGTGGGGTGGTGAATGGTTATACTGATATCATAATCATACATGGTGTGGGGGTAGTGAATGGTTATACTGATATCATAATCATACATGGGGTGGGAGTAGTGAATGGTTACACTGATTTCATAATCATACATGGGGTGGGGTGGTGAATGGTTATACTGATATCATAATCATGGTTATGGTTACTGATATCATAATCATACATGGGGGTGGGGTGGGGGTGAATGGTTATACTGATATCATAATCATACATGGGGGTTGGGGATGGGGGTGGTGAATGGTTATACTGATATCATAATCATACATGGGGTTAGGGGTGGGAGTGGTGAATGGTTATACTGATATCATAATCATACATGGGGGTTGGGGATGGGGGTGGTGAATGGTTATACTGATATCATAATCAACAATGGGGGTGGGGGTGGTGAATGGTTATATTGATATCATAATCATACAGGGGGTTGGGGTGGGGTAGTGAATGGTAACACTGATATCATAATCATACATGGGGGTGGTGAATGGTTATACTGATATCATAATCATACATGGGGATTGGGGATGGGGGTGGTGAATGGTTATACTGATATCATAATCAACAATGGGGGTGGGGGTGGTGAATGGTTATATTGATATCATAATCATACATGGGGTTGGGGTGGGGTAGTGAATGGTAACACTGATATCATAATCATACATGGGGGTAGTGAATGGTTACACTGATATCATAATCATACATGGGGGTGGGGTAGTGGATGGTTATACTGATATCACAATTATACATGGGGTTGGGGTGGTGGATGGTTATACTGATATCATAATCATACATGGGGGTGGGGTGGTGAATGGTTATACTGATATCATAATCATACGTGGGGGTGGGGGTGGTGAATGATTATATTGATATCATAATCATACATGGGGGTGGGGGTATTGAATGGTTATACTGATATCATAATCATACATGGGGGTAGGGGTGAGGTGGGTGTGGTGAATGGTTATACTGATATCATAATCATACGTGGGGTAGGAGGTGGGGAGTGAATGGTTACACTGATATCACCTTGGAACTAACCTCCAGAGAAATGTCTATAACTGATGACAACAGGGATAAACAATGATAAAACAGAACAAAAAAGACTTCATAGATACAAGAACCTTGTGGTGGTATTCTCACCAGATCAACCGTTCTTAGCTATCTCGTAATGCATAATAAATGCACTTTCTTGTGTTACAGAAGTCCGAATCGTCTGCTACATGGTTTTATTATATATCACTCTTACTATTGGACAGGGTATATAAACAATGGCTCACTAATTCATTAGCAAAAAACTTGACATATTAGAAACAATTTATTCTTTGTCAGGGACCTATATAAAGTTATTGTCTTTATAAAGATATGAGCAGTGTGTGGCACTTTAAACACATAATTACCGGATATTTGTTATCTCTTGTTGTTGGTGTATAATTAGAAAACCTGTACAGTCTGTATAGTGGAGTGTCGGTGTAAAGGTCATCCCGGAAACTATCTGTATCATTCACACCACTGACTCTGACCAACAGTGCATCTGGATTAGGAGGTCGAGTGACTAGGGTAGGCGATGCACCCAGCATCTCCGCCGAGATGTTGATCGTGATGCTGAGGGCGGGGATGAGGTAGGCTTGTCCAGGTTTGTTGTACCTCATGTGGTGTAGACCAATGGCCACTAGTTCTGAACAGTTTGCATTGGTCAGTAGAAATGATCCAGGCTGATACTGAGACTGAAATTGTCCCCAACCTGTCGGAATAGACAAATTGTTACTCGTCAGCAATGTATTTTATTTAACGCGAATTGGTAAAAGAGACAAAAAATTGCTTTTCAGTTTATTAAAAAAAAAAAAAAAAAATAGCGGGGATGTGGGGAAAAAAGAGGAGGAAAGGTGGCTCCCGATCTGTTATGTTAGGTTAAGAAACAATTTACAAGTTATCATATTGTATTTACATGACATACATTTATATGTTTTTCTGGTGTCTCTATATTGTACATTATAATATGTTTCGTGTCGTAATACCGCACCGTAAGGTTTAAAGTAAATAAGTTGACATTATGTTACACCACGGACTTATATACACATATGTGTATATAAGTCCGTGGTTACACTTATATCATCGGAAATTTTGTAATGTATTTAGATTAAAATTTAGGTTATCGTCTCTGTGAACATTGTATAAAAACTCTGGTAAAAAGAGGCGGATATTAACGAGTATTTAGAAGCGAATGACCATGTCCAAAACTTAATGTAAGAGATAAAGAGAACGAATAACATTCTATTGCCTTTTTATTTTCAATAAACTCAGGGTTGCATCGATATTATAAGATATGACGATATACGTTCAAACTTACTTAAACTTCAAAAATGGGGGAAAAAAAACTTGTCTGTAGTTCTCATTGCCGCTATTGAACTAAAGACTAAATGTCCAATTTATCCGTCCTGCATAATATGCCTTCATTATACTGTGATAACTCAGTAATGTATTGTACATGTGTTTACATGCTGGTAAGGCTAAAGGCAAATATCAAAACGAGCCCGTAGTCCTGCCTCTTCATTTGTCAATTGTCTTTAATTACCTCGCTGTTGATGACACCCCCTTCCCCACCCCCTCCCCCGTGCCTTTGGTATATCGAATATCGTGCTTGTATCAAAAAGAATACGGAACCCTGGGCGGTTTGTTGACTAGTAACAGAAGTTCAGCACGTGTCAATAACAAGAGGTCTTTGTAAACCTTTTATTCGTACATATGTCTAAAATTAACGAACCGTATATGTGAATGGAATTGTACACGTGTACGTGTTTTGATATATAACACACCCTAGCAACAATAAATAAGGAACTTACCTGTCTCGTTATGGACACTGCATGCAAAATTTTCATCCTGACAATGGAAACGTGATTCTTGGAATAATGACATGTTAAAATTAGACGTTTTCTTAAATCATTATTCTGATCATTGACAAGAACTGAATATTAATGAAAGCTGAAAAGTGTAATGTTATCACTTTTTAAACAAATGGCTCATTAAATTACTTGTACCAGAGACGTATATAAAACGTGATATATACGTCTCTGCTTGTACATTATAAAATGTACATGCTATAGTATATTATGTAATTGTAGAAGTGAAGCATATATTAATGTTAAGAGGGAATAAAGATGACAATATACAGATTTTAATCATAGTATATACACGACTTGAGCCTCCTCACGATGTATCATTGAAAGATTAAAAAAAAAGTTACATAGCCGCTCTTTGTAATCAATGTCACAACAACCCTTACATTTACAGTAGCACACCTTTAAAAACACTTTGATGACACAAAAACATGATCCCTTCCCTTGAATCGGTTCTTATACATTTTATTTAGGTATACTGACACAAGAGGCCTGTAGCTGTGCGGGCCTCTCGCTTTATGTTCAGTGAGGTGGCCACCATGTGCTTACCCTGGCTGTTCCTTGACGATAAATCGCCTTGAAAACGAACAAATCAAGCTAAGGGAAATGTATTAGAGTTAGCTACAGTCTAGTGACAGTGATTTGTCAGTGACAAGAAGTTTGTGACAGTCACTTGTCAGTGGTCGACATGAGGGTAGCGATGACAATACACACGTTGAATAGCCTACCTGTGGAATGCAGTTCGTACCGCACGTGTCATTTATGCGTATACTGTTGTCACCAATGTCAGTCCTGACAGTGTAATCGCTCGTCTCTTGGGGACACAATAACGGTAATCTGTACGTATCTCCACCCAGCCACATCACCATCAGATTTAACACACCCGCGAGGAAACCTTGCCAACTAGGAGACATCGACTTTCTCTTTCATTTACAAACACACCTTACTTCTACAACATTTTAAACACATTCTTCCCCCGTCATATGATGACCAGTTTACGCCTACGTTAGTCTTCCTCGAAGTAAGCCTATATATATATGTGTGTGCATACCCTCTTACATTGATAAGAACCCGGTAGTTCTCTGGCAGGTGACTTGTTTCTACGAACTGATCATTCCGATAAGATATAAGTCCAGTTAGGTATTCATTAAGTATATTTCACACTTCTTTATATAAATACTTCTAGTAATTTACTGTAATGATGGACAGTAGGTGAAGAGTGACATATACTTTTAATAATATAGGGTAGGTGTTGAAATTTTAACCCATATTAAAACGTTAACATCGGTATGATGGACTAAGACGATCTACCTTGCTTATTGCTAGTAAAGACGTTTCAGACCAAGACACAGTTATCCTCGCCCTAGTTGTCATACATTTGATGTATGTTTGTAATGCTGTCTCGGAGATTTTTTTTATTATTATTACAATCAGAGACGTATATAACACATATATACGTCTCTGTTACAATCCATTACGTCGATACTGCCCCTCGTCCTGAATATACAACAAACTTAATCATAGAACTACGTCTCGGATATTCTACATAGACCTACATCCAGACATACTTCACTTGTTTGTCTCTTTGTCTATTAATAGGACAAATCATAGGAGAATAAAGCAATAAGATTGTGGAAGTTATGACGATTTTATTACTACTTTCTCTTTCGTTTTCCTTCTCTGCCTGTCTCTCGACCAAGTTTAACGAACATTTAAATCACCTTTGAGTTTTCCTCTTTTCGGCCGGATGCTGGACTGGTTAATCGCACTGGGATTTATTTATTCATTTACTTAACAAGCTGTAAGTCCGCCGCCACGGACTTATACTGAGATACAAAGTGTACTGTCAGCTGCTTGGACGAGGATGGCCCTTCCAGATATAAGGTACTTATACACCATTAGACAAGAATGTTTATTTATTTTTTTTTTTGTTTGTTTTTTTTTGTAATTGGTTTTGTGTTTTGTTTGTTTATATATTTAGTGAATATATATATCATAACTAAAAATGAACTGAAGTGTAATGTTACATGCAATCCAGATTCCCCGATAGCTTTGAAATTATGTAGTAAAATTGTCAGTTTTACATGAAAAAAAAAATAAAAAAAAAAGTAAACATGTATTTTTTTATTAAAACTATAATTTAAATTTCCTTTTTTATAAACATTCATTAATTGAAATTAAATTCCTTTATATTTACAAGCCACCTGAAAAGAAAGCTTGAATAACAACATAACATGCCGAAATTTTAGGCACGTTTCGTTTTATTCTAGTCTGAAAATTGTATAATCCAAAAATCGTGTGAAAATTGATTGGTCGATGTTTGAAAGGACGCGTGATTTGATTGGCTCTACCAAGAGGAAACCCAATGCTCGCCGCCATTTTTGAAAGTTGTTGTTGTGTACAAACAAAATTCTGTCGAAATTCACACCAAGATGCCAAGTATGGATGATGAAAATGTGTTCAGGTAATATCTGAAACGAACTTTGTATTTATACCATGTTTTAAGATCGATATATGTTTTATATTGTAAGTTACACGGATATAGAAATCACATGTTTACGAGGACGATGTTCATACTAGTCTCATAAAAGCATTATAACAGCAAGGAAACCGCTTACTAAAAGACCAAACGCTACGGTTACCCCCACTCCCTCACAATAACGGCTATCTAAACCCACATTGTGTTTAGTTTTATTTCATTTTGGTGTTTTCATGCCTTTCCAAATAACATAAGACTGGTTTTCCCAAATCATCGATTCAGTTTTACAACATGGTGGCAATGGTGCACAAACGATCACTGCCAACATTCCTAAAGTTAATCATACGTACTGATCAATACAGTGAAAAGGAGAATTATTTACCGAACGCGTTGAAACGTGCATGTATTTTCCTTAGCATATTGGTCAGTTGGATATATCACAGACCTTATATCTGTATCTTATTTTTTTTCTTAGGAAGGCAACGTCAACAGTTCTAGCATTACTCCTGTAATGCAGCTATCAATCTAGCCCTGACAATTTTGGCCTCACAAACCGTTTGATAAAAATATGCATACCTTTATGTAGTGTTATCCTGAATTTGAAATTTGTATGAAAATTAGGACAGTAAAAGTGCATTGAAAAAAGACTGGTAAAATTTTACTGACATGTATTGTTTGTTTTTTGAGTTGTTTTATCTTTGTGTCATTATGATAAGCAAATGCAGAATTTCAAAGGTTGGGAGTTACTCTAAAATTTCTCCCAAGATACTGATGGGTGGTCAGATATAGAATAGGATAAAATTACTCTGACTTTCTATCAACCTTTTTATCAATTTAGTCAGGAGAGGAAAAATGAATGGAATTAATAAAGTAATTCAAATGAAGATACAGATTGATCATAATTACGATCATGAGAAGTTAATAGTTACACTTTGAATTAATTAAAGTGGTGCAATCAAGCTTTGTATAAAGATAAGATAATTAGTTCAAAGCAGTTAATTAAATTATATAGTCAAAATTTGCTTGCTAAATTAGATTGTTTTAGTAAATAAATGTAATCACATTGTTGGTCTGCTGTTTTCAGTAACACTGGAACTCTCCAGTTAACTCATAATATTTAGTCATTACACATATGTGGTGTACAACCAGGGATGTGGTAATGTAACTACTTAATGGAAGAAATTATTACAGCAGTGAAATTATGAATGATCACAAGGTAGACATATATTTACTGTTTTCATGCATGCCATATTGATATGCTTTAAATGACCATCTCAACCATCTTCCCTTTTCAAAATGTCTTATTCCATTGTTTTAGTTCATGTAAATAAGTTATTAGAGGTAATTAATTAAGTACCTGAAAACATGTGCTTGCATTATTCACTCAAGCTTTGCATCTTCAGCGTAATTGGGTCAATATGCCATAGACTTACAATACTTATTGTACATGAATAAATAACAATATAATTATTATCACCTTATTAGCTGTATTAGTACTGGTATGACATCTAGCTTGAATTAATCTTATTTGTCATGATTGATTTTCTCAATTGTTACCAATATATTGTTGGGAAGCCCAAGCCTGAGTTACAGAGATACATTATTATGTGATACTATATATTATGTAGTATGATTAAATTAATACTTGCCATTTAAAATCTTTCTCTGAATTTGGGTTGTGTATTTCAGCTTACTGGGATACTGAAATATGTGTATGAGCTGAATTTTATAAAAAGAAAGTATAGTTTCAAAAGGAAGTCACTTTGAATTGTCCCCAACAACTACTTTCTAACCTATCAAATGGTAAAAGATCAAAGTGAACTCATGTTCATATTGTTTATAACTCAGAATTCCTTCTTTTGAAGTTGAAATTGTACAAACAAATATTACTCTGGAGTTTTAGTTAGGGTGATCAGGGGTTCCAGTAAGGTGTTGCTAACTAAGTAATTAGTGTCGGACAGCCCACCTGTGGTGTTTAATTACCCTTAACACCTGGGCAGGTGACATATTTGCACTATCAATCCTCAGTAGGAAAAATACCCTCAGAGGAAAGAACTGGTGTTTTCTGCCTCCAGCTACTGTATTTATATTTTCAACTGGTTTTGAAATGGCCAGATTGAGTCTTACTCCTGTTTTGTAAGTATCCTGATAATTATCACAATTTCTGACAGCTTGGTAACATAGATATATGACTGGATGTTTCATCAAGTTAGTCTTCTTAGTGACACATATAAAATATGACCATCATTGGTTGTCAGACTTTTGGCTAGAAGAATTAACCGCAGATAACAAAATTTGCTTTTATTGATCCAAGCAGTATTTTATTCTAATCATACATACTGATATATGTATGATGGACCCAGATGAACTGTACATATTTTATTTTTTTAACAAACAACGTATTGTTTTCTCACAATAACTTGTCATAAATTATTGTTTTATTTCATAAAATGTGATTGGTTTATATTCATTTTGGTATCATTAACTAATTCAAAATATCAGAATGTTAACATTTGTTTTAATATATTCCATTGAAAATGAGTACATCAGAAAATAATATTCATTTTTAATAATTCTTTATGTTAACAAAACATCATGTCAAGTTGTTGTAATTTAATGTTATGCATTGAATATTGTCAGTATTTTTTCCTGTCTGATTGGTTTCTGCAAGATAAACTTAAATCTGATTTGTTTTGGCATTCCATTGCAAACATTTAATTCATGCTTTTTAGGTTACCTGAGATCAAGGATGAGAAAAGCTGTAGAAGACATTCAGTAATTGGTCTGGCCAACTTTGAACTCCCAAGTCTGGTAATTATGTGAAATAATTCTTGATAATTACATATGATTGTTTAATTAACACTGCATGATCTTCAAATTTCAATTTGTTTTTTAGATTTGTATTCATGAATATTGTTCATATTTTGATTATAATAATAAGCAGTGATCAATACTTGTGTAGTGACTGTCCTTAACCAGGTACATATTTTGAATGGAAAAAATATTCCATGCCTCATGCTTTCAAAAGTGGGAGGGGGGAGGGAATAATCAAAAAGGAAGAACTTAATGTAAAAAACAGAGTCTACTATAATTTGTTCTCACTAAATGGAAGAACAGTCAAAAATAATAATTTTCGGGGAACAGGTAACAAATAAGTTGAAATTGATACACATATTTCAGAACTACTATCATTGTTGATGTGATGATATCTGATAATGTAAACAGAAGCGCTCACCAGATTTTTTTTATCAATACATGACCTATATACATTGCATTACTTTTTTTTATAGAGAAAACGAAAGAGGAAAGTAGATGAAGACACACTGAGTATACAGAGCTTTGATGTGGAACACAAGGTAATGTAAATCTGTCAATATTTACATTATATGCTGCACATCTAGAGATCAAAGCAATTTCTAAAATATACCCAAACTTATATACCAGGGTATATGTACATGTTTGTCTTTTAGAATTGTACTTATCACATTACTTTTTCAAGTATTGAATTTTGAGCCATATAGAACCACTTCCATATGTGACTAAGCACTATATACATTGTATAAGATTTGCCATTTTTAAAAGGGTCATTGCTTGATTTTATCTCCTCTACTTTTGTTTGGATATCTAATGCATTACCATGTGTTATTTATATACAATGATGACTCATGTCAGATGTATTCTACCTGGAAAACATTTAAACATAGCGACACCCTGGTACATTGGTATTCCATTGGCATGACACTTGCTTTATCCCTGCCTTTGCACTGAACCCACATCTTCTCTAAAACATGTGATATGGCACTAGGACTAGTTTGGGATATTCAAGAAAGATTAGATTTTTGTTCAGAAAGGGTAAGACTAATCATATAGTACAGAAAGTGTGATGTAAGATGTCATTTAGTATGTATACCATGTTTTGTCAGTAGCTTTCATGGGGTAGGTTACTAAGTGATCAATAACATTGGTCAAACTATCTGATATGCATGTCAGTGTTTTGACAATAATGATTGATATTTTGATTTAAAAAAAGTATTGATCTCATTTGTATTGTATTTTTGTATCTTTTTTTAGAAGAAGAGTAGGAGATCTTTGTTAAGAGTGTCATCACTGGCCAATCTACTCTCTCCATCAAAAGGTAGCAACAAACGAGGATCAGATGGCTTTCAGGTAAGTCATGTTCATATAAATTGTGTAAAATAGTTTCAGTGTCAAAATTTGTGATTAAGGAATTGTTGACATTGATTAAGAAAGATATTTTTTCTGTATTGGAGAAGTGTCAATGATCTTGTTCACTTTTTTTTGTCTGGTCACGTGTCATTAGTGATAGAGCTTGATGTGATTGGGAAAACAGTTACTTAGGCAGAAATAAGAAATGTCAATTCCTTATGATAGATTTGAGTCTTGACGTAGACCATCCTTTTGGATTTGTATGGAATAAGACCTGATTAAATGACTTTTATTTTAATGATGAATATACTTACACCATAATAAACACATGTCACCATATTACTTTCACTACCAAGGACACAAATCCAGAGCTGGATAAAGGAATTATTTTGTTCAGTTAATCTGTGAAATCTGGTCTGCTTTACCAAGAAAATTGTCTTAAAAACTGATTTTTTTTCATTATTTTTCAGCTTTTATCAGATAGCCATCCATTTTTTTTTCATATCATTTAATACTGTAAAATAAACAAATAAAAACCATACCACACATTCTGTTTCAAAAATGATGTCTGATTATATTCCTAGTACTGTTGTGAAATGACATTGTAGATTAAGTACAGTTCTGATGATTCTTGGTAGCTACACCCGAAAGACCTTGTACCTCCCCATTACCTGTGTTTGGCTCTCGGTTATCTTGGTACTCCAGAGCAATATGGACATATTTGTGTGTTGATGTGTCTGCCTGACAATATTGTAATGTAATGATAACATATCACTCATTTACACCACTTACTAATATACAACAAACATTACACCTAGTTCTTGGTTCAAAATGTACAAACATGTCCTAACCTTAGACTGGCTTTTTTTAGCGTTTCATATTGTAAACTAGATATTGTCTGGCTACCAAGTATGTAACCCTGGTTAAATAGAAGATATTGATAATTTGACAACAGAAAAAACAAAACAAACTTTCGGCTGTTTTTTTTTTTTTTTAAAATTATGACTTGATGTTCCTTCTGTAAAGCGACCATCATGTTTCTCTATCTTTATTTGATATACTGGTCTTATTTAAATTACTTTGAAAATTCATCATCCTTATTCCAAGACTTTGTCTTGTGTTTTGCAAACACTTCAAAACATCAGGTGAAATATAAACTCAAATCAGATAAAGGTAGTGTGTTTTGTGAAACAAATCAGATTACCTGGCTCTAGAAAGAGTGATGTCATAGAAGGGTCAGTCAGCGTTAAGCAGATTTGCATTGGGTATCCTATAAAAAGGTCATTTTCAGGGGTCCTAATGTATATTTTGAATGGCATTTAACTGAAAATATCAGGGTTCTCGATCTGCCAGATTTGGGGCCAATATTCCGCCCCATTCCCAATGCAAAATAGTATCTTTTTTTCCCAATTTAGACCCCAAGTTTTCCCAAATCTAAGGAAAACATTGCTATTTTCCCCAATTCTAAGGGCCCTGGGCCCCAGTCCCAAAATGGGGTGTGAGAGCCCTGAATATGGGGTCCCTTTTTATATCAATCATGCTTCAAAAAGCTACATTGTCATCATCAATGCCAAGTCTTTTTGTCAGAATGTTTAGTACAATTAAGTTAAACTCTGCCTTAATGTAGGATGAAGAGAAGTAGTAGTTAAAAGAAAAAGTAGATGGAAGACAAACAGACCATGGATATCATGTTGTCATTACAGGGACTTACTGGTCCTTTGGACTAGATGAGTTCAAACTTTTTTCAACTATAAAACATGGCAAAATGAATTGCTTTTGCACATTTTATTTTACTAATAATAGGCGTACGTTGTGGTAGTTTATAAGATTAAGGCTTATTATATATGTATTGATATAATGGAGAAAGAAGCATGGATAATGCAAAATTTTGATTTTGTACAGATTTTCTGATAGGGTCCTGATTACACTTGGTCAGTAGGTACTAGAAGGGAAGTATAATGGAGTGGTCTTTACAAGAAGGGTACACTAGATTGGGTATAATTGCTGCATCATCCCTACCTTCTGTTTTCTGTTTCTGTTTTGCGTGTCTTTCTTTTTTTAATTTATTGTGCACATTTCAAGCTTTGGTTCAGATTTTGCAGCAGCAGGAGTTGTGTTTTTAAAAAATTAAGTTAACATTGTATTTCAGAACCTATAGAAACAATGTTATTCATTGTATAATCATTATTGAAGTAGTATTCATTATTCGTGTTATAATTGTTATTTTGACATTTCGATTAAATTTTTCAGCGGTCCATCAGTTTCAAGGTACCATCTTCCCCTGCCAGCTCCAAGCAGAGCCTTACACCATACAAGGCTCCTTCTCCATCCCCAGCCAAGAGACGCCTAAGTCGGACATGGAGTGACATGATGACTACCTCTGGCATCATTCCTAAAGAACTCAGCCATAGGGACATCAAGAAACAAGAGGTAGGTTATATATCATAAGAACTCAGCCATAGGGACATCAAGAAGCAAGAGGTAGGTTATATAACATAAGAACTCAGACAAAGGGATATCAAGAAACCATTCATTCCTGAAGAACTCAGCCAGAGGTTTTAGGCATCATTACAAACATTATTTAAGATTTCATGACCATAAACAGCAGGGAGCAATGATGGCCAAATAGTTAGGATGTCTGTCAGTCTACATCACTAGCCCTCCACCTTTGGGTGGCACCAGGTGCTGGCCACACGTCAGTGTTTTTCCTCTGGGAACTCTTCCTCCACCACTCAAACCTGGCACAACATTAAATGACGATGGTTGTTAAGAGGACATAAAGCAACAACTAACCAAATGAACATCAAAATATGACAATATTGTGAAGAGTTGCTGCCCTTTATTTTGAAACCTAGAATGTTTTATAAATTTAACAAGAAATTGTGTTTTGTGAACAACATTTTGATTTTGGAAGAGTTGTTGCTCTTCTCTGAATTGGAGATCTACTCCCTTTACTTTTTAATTCATTTTTTATTTAACTATCATTATAAGGACATGAAGTTGTTCTTTCTTACAGGAATTATGACTTGACATTTTAAAATTTGTATTTCCTGTCTTCATGTTTAGCTCCTTTTCTTTGATACTATTAGTTCTAAGATCATGAAGCTATTTAGAATGTTTGATCTATTAGTATGTAATTCTCTTAATTTTAAGGCTGTTAAAAATAGTAGTTAGAAAGTATCTGTACATGTCATACATACCTGGCCCTGCATTGTCTCATTTTGTTTTAGTATAAAAAAGACTAATAATAAGATATTTAAAATGTTTTTGGCTTATTGAGTATAAAGTTGTAGCTACAATGAAAATATTTATCCTGTTTTCACAAAAAGAAGTGTTATTACATATGGTTTGAATCTCTTTGATTGCTATTACAATATCATACCAAACCTCTTGAAACTATTGTAAATCATTTTCAGTTGTAACACAATATAACATCTGGTGAACTTTGTCCTCCTGTGATGAAATATTAATGCTTAGAGTACAGATACAGAGATTAAACAAGTGACTATCCTTAAATCTTAGCTAAATCATGAAGATTGTCTTTTTCTGATTGCCATCATCTTGGCTACATTTTGAGTATAACTATCATGTTGCAAATTATTTCCAGGCCATATATGAACTGTACCAGGGGGAGAAGGACCTTGCAGAGGATCTTGTCAACGTCAAGAAGGTAAGATTTATCATAGTGATAGACGTAATATTAAGTTTGAAAAGTCTTGTCATGAAATTTTCTTTTTTTTTTTTTTTTTTTTTTGGGATGATTTTTCTTTTGTTTTCCATAAATATGGCTGAGAACTGATCAAAGCATATAAGAGAAATCACTGTGGAAAATAACAATTTGAATTAAGACATCGCCATTGAAATGAAGTAACAGCATAATCGATAAATCAGAAGATGTTAAGTCATTTATCGAACTACATAAAATTCAATATAAGAAAACAATGTAAGATATTCTATATAAGAATTTTGCACTTATTTTTTTAATGTAAGTTATATTTGTAATAGACTATTTATACCATTAAAAAATATGTTGTGTGTAGTTTATAGTTGTTGATGATTATTGTTAACATTTCAGACATATCATGACTCAATGAAGAAACTACAGCTTCTGTCTGATGGAGAGTTACAGCAGATTTTTGGTCCCATTGACTCTCTGATACCAGTTCATGAAGGTAATCAAACTTTTTAAGAAATCAGTATCAAACACAGATTCATAAAAGAGGTTTATGATGAGGATGGTATCAAATGGTATCTATATTTATCTATATCTATATATATATATACATCTTTGGATGATGTTATTCAATGTTTTTGTTAATGTTTTAAAGTTATCACAGATGTTAAGGAAGTCCATTGTAATGCTGTGATACTTTGATTGTAGTATTAGTAACATTCTCTGATATAACACACCACTAACTGAATTTTTAAAATGATTTTTCATTTACTGAATTTCCCTCTTTTTCACTCTATGTTTATTGATGATCATGGCTTAGTGGTAACTTTGAGAAGTAAATAATTCTACAATTACATTATCATTTTGTTACACTTACGTATAATATATTAATTATACATATTGATTTGAATTTTTTAAGTTTTATACAAGACATATCCACAAAAGTTAAAACAAAAGCAATAATGGATTCTCTCTAATTTTTACGGCTTTTGTACAGTGTTCAGACTTCTTTCTCACCAGACCGTTACAGAAGTGTCAACATTGATTTTGTTGGTTAGGCTAAATAAGAATACACACTTAAAATGTAGATATATTGGAATAACCCCTTACCTAATGTGATCATGTTCTTCTAGCACTATTGTTTGAATATAGGATAAAGGATGCCTTTTTAAGTGTGCTGATATATTTCTATAATTGAATTGTAGACCTTGCGATGAAGCTGCAGAACAATCGTCGCCCTGATGGTACCACTGACAGAGTTGGAGAGGTCTTAGTGGACTGGGTAGGATCATAGTGTACTTGAATGTTTTAACAGATTTCAGTCATCTTTGGGAATGTGATTCATAGAAATGATGGTGGATGTTCCAATTTCATGGAGGCTATGACTAGGAATAATGTAGACACTTGGAGGAATGTTATTTGATTTTCATATTTCTATCTGTTAACAGTTTTGAACAGGCAGTGTTAATCTCTCGTAGTTGAAAAATGGAAAAAATGCTTTTGATTATAAAAATATAGAGTTTAGTTCAATAGGAAATAAAAAATAAAATTTGATCTTAGCAAACTATTTCTTGTAATCAATTTTTTTCGTGGTATAGCACCTGTTGATCTTTAGTGACAAGGTTTTATTGTGTGCAATATGCCTACCAACATAAAGGTGGAATTTGTTAGCCATTATGTGGTATAATGTATAACTTAAGTTACAGCCTCAACCAGTATAGACTGATATTAACAATTACAGGTGCCCTCCCTGAAGGAGTATGTGACCTTCTGTAGCAACCAGGTGTTCGGGAAAGCATTGTTGGATGAGAAACTGACCGACCCAGCTGTGGAGGACTTCCTTCAGAGGTGTCAGAATTCACCCTTCAGTCGTAAACTTGACTTGTGGACCCTGCTTGGTTAGTATGGCTTGAGAGATATGTTAATATGTCAAAATATCTACTCCATGAATGATACTGTTGGTTTCTAACTGAAGTTATATTTCTGAAGAAAAATGTCTGAGCTATTAAGTCATGGTCAATAAGGGGTGTTAGTCGCATTAGATTTCTTGGTGAATTCTATGTACCGTTCTTACTTCACTGTTTCATATGTTTGGTGTGTTTGAATATTTGGAAAGATTTGATGTACAGTGTTTCGTTCACTCTCATGCAAAATTTGTATATCTTTGTCAATAATTTCTACAATTCAATAATACTGTTTCAAAAAATACTACCCATACATACTGAGATACAGTTAAACATTTTTATAAAGAGGTTGTTGTCCAAAACAGTGGTGTTAAAATGAAATGATACCTTTCAAAATTGGAGCCTGGTATAACATAGTTATGAAAAAAAAGAAAGTCTTGTCATTAACAGTCACAACATAACAAGGACAGGTTTTCATTCTGATATGTTAGTTTTTACTCTGGTATCAACTGATCTCAACTTGGATTAACGTATATTTGAGGGAAAAAATGTTATCTGCCACATGTACAGGAAATAAGTCTCTATTTCATGGATCATTCAGTGCTGATACTTAATCAGAATTAATTCCGAAATGTATGGCTTGATATTGAATGTACTTTATTTGCTTATAGATGGAGCAAGGAGCAAGTTTATCAAGTATCCATTACTTATCAAGAGTATCAAGAAATATGTAAGTGAACAGACATCAGTTAGACCGACTTAAATATTAGACCAGGATGATAAATCAGATGTTTTATTGCTGCATATTGATACCTTCAGTTATATTTCCAGTCTATTCTAAATCACAGTCTTAAATTATTGTAAAGAAGTAAATTACCTCATTAAAATTTAATTGTATCTATTTTGTCTGAAATGACGAGAAAATTTGAAAATTGTATGTGCTTCTCTGTCTCACTGTGTTTGTACTACCAAGATGAAATTGAAGACTCCTAAAGAAATAATGGAATTTGACATTATATTTTTACTAAATTTCAGACGCAGACAGAAGATGAAGACACCCACTACCTCAATGAAGCTGTAAGTACCGGATTGATCAGATTGTCACCAGTGTCTAATTCATCATTGAGAAGTTGTATTTAATTTAGTGCACAGTGATACAGCAAACATATCGGGCATTAGATTTTATCATATGGTTTATAAATCAGTTACAATAGACCTATAATTTAAATCCTCTGAAGGATTCTCTAGTTGACAAAAGAATTTGTATGGATATGAACAGTTTGTAATAACAATGGCAATGCTTTATAGAATAACTTGTAATATAAACAACTTCAGTATTATACTTGCCCAATGACAGGTTTTTATGCCCCTGCCATTTTATATGCTGTCCCATGTTCTCCCATTGTGTGTTGTCCACACACATCCTATTCCTAATAAGTATCATTTTCTCTAGAACCTTTCACCAGATTTGGTTCATATTTACCCTATAGTATCATTACATCATGCAAGTTCTACATCTGATCAGACTGGTGTAATATTTACCCTATAGTATCATAACATCAAGTTCTACACCTGATCAGACACTGGTTTTTATATTTACATCATAATGTCAAGTTTTACACGTGATCAGATTCTGGCATAAATAGGAGTTGGCGCGTTCATGTCTTACAGACATTTTCTAGATTTTGCTCTTTGAAACATTTTTTCTTCATCTTAATATACATTTAGAACTTTCTATTTAACATTGCAAGTTCACAGTGGTATCATGTAATATCATTTGTATTTCAGATCAAGCTTTCTGAGCGCGTGATTGCAGAGGCAGACAAAATGACAGGAGAGGCAAAGTGTCGATATTACAGATCACGCATCTCCTTCCTGTATGATGACGATGTAAGTCTTAAGTGAAGCTATTATAGGAGCTGCATTTCCATCCTGTAGAGTGATGAAGTAGTCAGTGTGTACTGTTATAAATTCATCAAAGGCTGATCAAAAATAAAAAAATTTCCGAGGGTTTGACTGAATTTATTGAATTTTATCGGCCAGTTATGAATACCCTTTGTTTTCATTTTACTTCACAACTGTTTTGAGATATGGCACTGAAGGTCATTGTGAATATTATTATTGTATGTTGGATGTTTGTGTTACATTTATTTCTTTATTCATTTAATCAATTTATTCCAGAAATGTGAAGCACTGGAGCAGTCTTCCATGCTTGTGTGTAATGGAACCCTGAAAAACAACAAGAGCAGTGTGAGTAAATTATCTCCAGAAAATTTCTCTTTTGGAAATGAAAACAAACTTCATGTCCTATGAAAGCCCTCAACCTCAGTCTTCTCATATTTGAGTGATAGCAATGTAAACTTTTTCTTAAGATGCTCATATGAAAGTGACTCTTTTTATATATGTTTTTTTCAAATCTTTGCAATTGAAGATGAGAATGTTATTTATTGATTCTTTTAAGTCTTAGAATTATTTCATGGCAATTTTGAAATCTCTTTTATGATTCATTACATACTTTGTTCTATTGAAGGACTTTTTCATGTCAGATATTTTCTTGATTACTTGTTTACACCATGTTGCTATTTTCATTACAGAAGCTGTATGTTTTCCTGTTTGACAAAGTGTTGGTTGTGACGCGGATGGCAAATCATGGTGGTCACCAAGGCTTCCAGCTGTATAGACAACCCATCCCTGTTGACGAGCTTGTCCTTACCGACCTCAAAGATGGAGAAGTCAAGATGGGGTCCTTCCGCAGTGCCTTTGGTTCAGGACAGACAAGTATGTGTAGATACTGTTAATTTTGTATAAAGTTCATCAGACCAGAAGTGAAAATCTAGAAACATTCAAAAAGTTTTCCACTATGCTTAAGTTGAAACTGTATTCTTAGAAATAACCTAGATTTTTTACATTATAAACCATGTAATATTTGATATTTTTTGGTGAAATTGAATCTATCTCATTGAAAATTTTGATATAACAAGAAAAATGTAATTAAAATGTTGCTTTGTAGTAATTGCTTCAATATTTGTAATGAAGGAGGCATTAATAATTTCAGGCAAAAATGTGTTCCGAGTATCCTTCCAAGACTCTAACAAGGGCCAGTCACATACTTTGATTGCAACAGACGAGCATGACAAGAGACAGTGGGTCCAGTCCATACAGAAGACTCTTTCCAGTATGAAACGTGAGGAAGGAGATGGTGAGGAGTCAATATCGAAAACGACAACAGCTGCATCAACAACTACAGCATCAACAACTGCATCAACAACTACAGCAACAATTACAGCAAAAACTACAGCATCAACAACTACAGCAACAGCTACAGCAAAAACTACAGCATCAACAACTACAGCAAAAACTGCAGCAACAACTACAGCAACGACAACCACCGAGTAGTTACAGCACTGACAAATTAACAACTGTGTGAAATTCTTGTTTGCCATCTTCAAAATTAGTGCTACACACCCTTGCTACTTTGAACAAAAATGTTGAGACATTTGAAGAATGGACTGACTGTATCTAGTATGGTGATACTCTTCAAACATATAAAAGTTCAGTGCGTGTGACTTTGACCACTTCTCTGTCCTCTGGGAAGTCAGTAAGGTCTTGTAATAGACCAATGTTTGTGATATTACTGTTTGTTTAAGTGGAGTTAGAGGTTTGGAGTTGTTATGTTGCACCCCATTACACTGCCCAGCAGGTAAAGGGGTGACTGGTTATGTTTTTGTGGTATTACTGGCAATGTTTTATTTTAACACAAGTTAAAGGGGGCCCTGTTAGCTTGGAGGAGCAGTCCTAGCAGATGTATGTGTTTTATAGTACTTGTTCTTATGGCAGACTCTGTGCCCCAGATATTGTCTGTAAGGTAAAACTTGTCTAATCCAAAGGACACTTTCTTGACATTGGCAGAAAACCTAGGTCAATCAAAACTTTAAAATGTTATTTATCTGATCAAAATGATCATGTATTGTGAAAAGAAAGTGTTGTAAATATTTTCTGTTGAAAAGTGATTTTTTGCATTGTTAAGGTATAACTTTAGAGTACTTTAACTGATAAATGATCCACTCCATGGTTAAAAAACAATTCTAAAGGTTAAAAATTTATTATGAAAAGTGAAGACGGTAACTTCAAAGATATTCTGATATACCGCAGTGTTTCTATATTAAAAATTAGTGTTTGTTATAGTGCATTTATTGTTTAAATCTCAGTTTAAAAATAACTGCTTTAAGATGGTATTTAAATTTAGAAATGTCTCAATTGTTTCTTCTTGAAAAAATCAGTAATTCATTGTTAATACAATGTATCACACTTACAAAATTCATATTTTTCCGGGTCTCATGAAATATATTTGAATGTGAAGTCAGTTTTTCATTATATGTTGTAAATGAAAGCCTTTATCATGAGATTACCAATATTTATCTGTACATACAGCATCTAAGTATATATGCTTTTATTGTAAGTTATTTTATGATGGTGTCACAATGATTGGTGCTTGACTGATGAGTTTTTTAACCCTACCCACATGTTTTACCCTGCAATCTAGTCTGAGTGATGGGTAGGTGGGGTGTAGGATATACTAAGGCAGCAGTCATTTATATATAGATTTGTATAATACATATCTAATAGTGTAAACTATGATGTATTTATGTATCATCATGTCATACAACCTTATGCTTTTTTCTCCGTTTCAGTCTCATGTTTTGTAACTTACGTTGGATTCTTTAAAATAATATGCCCCAGATTTCCTCATGAAATTGAAGTTTGGTCTTCCTTATGAACTTATACTGGTGACATATTAACAAGAACAAATATTCTTGATTTTTTTTTCTTTCTTTCTCGTATATGTAAAGTATTTTTAAAAAATGAATCCAACATTGTATAGTTGTAGATGTTGAGTCTATTATACAGTATGTTTTTGCTACAATGTCAATTTTTTTTTGTCTATTTGAAAACAATTCTAATTATTCTACAAGGGGTAGATCTAACGATCTTCAGATGGAGGTTTGTATTTACAAGCTACTGTACTCAAAACTTTACAAAACCTTAGATCATTCAGAGGATTTAGTTTTCTTAAAATAATAATTAAATGAAAACAGGAACAAAGTATCCTAATAAACCGTGAAAGTAAATCATATGACTGGGATGAATTATCCGACAAGCCATTGACATTATCGTCACTTCATCATATTGGTATCATTTCAGCTATCATAAACAGACAAGATTTGGCTTGATTAAAAGCAATTGCATTTCAGCAAGGTGAAACATACCCAATATGTATATCAAAGATCATATATGCTGTATACATTGTCTCAACATTGTGTTAATTACGTGCGTGAATCATTAAGGAGTTTATCTGAGGAGTTCTGCATCAACACAGTTATCAGAATTATGTAAATACCATCAGGCTAACTGCCGCCAACTTATTAAGTTGTATATACTGTATACCAAATATTAAACACATGGAAGGGAAGAAAATACAACGTTCAGAGCGTGATTCAATTGTAAACTTGCATACATTTGTTTGTAGGGAATCATTCATTCAATTGTTGATGTATTTTTTGTATTAACATCCAAAAAGCTGCATGTTTCTAGATGACCTTCATCACAGATTTCTTTGTCACTGGGACATGAACGGATCACTTTGTAGTCAATATTGTCTTAACCAAGGTTTTTATGGGTATTGCCGTTAAAACTAACATTGCTTCCTTTATGAAAGCACTTGCTTTCAACATTTCAGTTGAAGACAATAGTCTGTTATCTTCACAAGAAATATTGAAAATTGACATCTCTACTTAATGCAATTAGTGTTTGCCACAGAAATAACACATCCACTTTTGTGGTGTGCGATTTAAGGAACATGCAGCTTTTCTCATTATTTCATAAACAATTCTAATAAAGATTTTGTATCTACAGTGTACTCTCAATATTTAATCAACAACATACATTATAATGGACCACCTTCCTTGTTTATTGTCAATCGGATAAGGTTTTATTTCCAATTTTAATTTTCTACCTAGATTTTCTACTATCTTTTACTCTGGTATAACGTTCTTCATCATAGTTGAAGTTCTATAATGATTTTAAGTCATTCCAGTTAAATGTCAAAGTTTTGGTGCTAAAACTATACTATTGAAATTTAGTCATTTTTTTTATTTCACAGACTAGACTCTTCACCAGTATTTTTGTGTCCTGTGACCACCTTACACTGTTGTCAATGTTGTGTGACAGTTTTCATTGCTAACAAGTATGACAATGAGAGAAACAAATAAACTATAAATGACATGTTCATTGTTTGGTATTTTAATTGCATTACTTAATTATGGAATAAGAAAATATCAAAATGTACACAAAATTATATTCCAATGACTCGAGATCAATGAAATGGAAGTAAAATACCAACAAGAGAAAGATTCTCGCCGAGATTTGAAAATTCAACTGGAACATTAAACATGGTATACTTCCATGTCACTCGAGGAAACATAATATCTGCCAAATGGTTGTTCTTAAACTTTAAGCCTAACAAAAAAAAAAAAAAAAAACAGCTGGAGTTATAACCTCCAATGACCCATTCATATACCAAGTTTCAATAACCCATTGTAAATACAAGCAAAGTCATGCCCTGGTCACAAAAATTTCAACAAAGGGCAAAGCCTCTGTCATTGAGGGGTTGAGGGACCTGAATTTGCTACACTGCACATTGCCTTATGTGATCAATGTATACACCAAACTTCATGATCCTTGATTAACTGTGGGCAAAGTTATGCTCCCAACACGAAAGACAAAGGGGCAATTATATGCTCCCCAGAAAATTTATTTTTTTTCATTATTAAAAGTAAAGTATCTTTTGCAGTCTCTCACATTTCCCTTTGGAAAGAGGGGGAACATTTACAATAAGAGTGGAAATAATTGAAGCTTGATTAGAATTACAGTAGGTGATGGAAGCTTGATGTGATATATATACTTACCTTGATGGACCATGCAGGGGACTGTTAACATGGCCACATTTTGATGCAGGTTTTGTAGAGCTTAATACTTCTCATGACAGAAAGGTCTAAAGCTGCTTTATCAAAATTGAAAAATTCATTACTCTAGGATCTTTCATATTTTTATTTATGACTCATAATTTTGTAATTCAAATTTTGTCAGAAGTATAAGTATAGAACAGCAGTTTCAAAGAATGTACATTTTGACATTGATTGCTCCGTGGGGCTCAACAGGTCAAATCAGCGAAAAATTTTCAATTTTAATCTTCAATGCCAGGAATGCTGAGGTCAAATGCTCTTCATTTCTTAATGAGACAAAATGTTGTCCGATGCATCCTCAGGTGACAGGAAATATTTTCTTAGAATCAGGAAGTATGAATAGTGGGATTTTTTTTTCTCACAAAATCCTTTCAGATAGGTTAGAGGTTTAGACAAAATTAAGTCTAATGGCTAATTTAATGGTGGACCCATATATGGATAAATGTATCTTCATCATCATGGAGTTTTAAAAAAAGGTTGTTTAAATTTTGTCTGATGCATCCTTTGGTGAAAAAAGAGTCAATTTCAAGTTGCTTATTTTCTTATTTATTTTTGCAAGTGTGTCGGGTACACAGGGTCTATCTAACTAAACAAATAAATGACCACCAAAACATCATGGATTGACTGAGCATTCTTGAGATCTGATTCTATCAAGAGCGAGTTACATAAAATAGTAAGATATCGTAAGCTGTAATGTACCAAAAAAACGCATCACTTAACTACATTATGAGGTGTCTTTAATGGTATATAAAAGGCACTTTTCTGTTCTCTGTTTAATGCTGTTCATAGTATCATAGTAATTGAATTTCCTTAGAAAGTCCACCTGTGTACAGAGGCAACTTTACCCTTGAGTTGTATCTATTGACAGGTTTGACTTAATAAAGTGGCACCAACATGCTGTAAGACTTTCTCCGAGATGTAAAAATATTAACTGCTTGATTGCTAAACCATTATTGGTGAAGATATATCAATTATCTAATGGTATAGCCTGCTTCAACAAGTTATGAACCAGTCGGATATTCCTTATCAGCATCCTCCACATTTTGCTGGTCATTTTCATTCAAGATCGGGGCATCAAGAAATTCAATAGATATTCCAGGGGCTTCTTGTTCAAATATCAAAATCTACAACAAAGAAAAGTAAATGGTATAAGATAAACATGATGGAAGGTGTTATTCTATCCATGCAAGCTGCGATTTACATACATGGTGATGAGAAAAACTACAGATGTACAATTGACATATGAAGGTAGCTTATTTTGTTTAAACAATGGAATATTATGAATTAAGACTTCTGAAAATGCGTCTTTATGTGATATAAAAGTGTCATGATTTAAACTTTCTGGAATGTTGATTAACAAGGAATTTATATATGACAAGGATCAGTGACTTTGCAAATGAGTATGAGTGATTTCCAAGGAAGAATACTATTTGGGGATTGGCAATTCTTGAGTACTATTTGAAAATATGTGATTTTCAAGGAAGAATATCATTTGAGGATAGCTTCATATTATAAAAGAATATTTTTTTTTATTATAGGTGATTTCCAATGAAGAATGGTATTTGAGGAAAAGTTGTTTTTAAAGAAGGCTTACATTTACAAATAAGTGACTTTTAAGAAAGGATTATTATATCTGAGTTAATTAAGATTCGTGATTCACCTGATTGTCTCCTTGTTTCAGTAGAGGTGCCGGCACATACAGGGTCTGTTGGGGTCCAACACACCAGAACCGACCGAGATTGAATCCATTCAGGAACACAATGCCTTTTCCCCATCCCTGGCAAAACAAGTCAACTCTGCGTTCAATGATATCGAGATTGGATGACAATTCATATTACACATTAAGTCAAACATGTTATAAATGATGCTAATTACATACAAGCATTGTTAATTTACCTTTGTGCAGAGGAAAGTGTCTTTTGGTGTGTCACTGATTGTCAGTGTGGCTTTGAACAATGCTGGTGAACTATACGACGACGGAAGGGTGGACACCCACTTGTCACACCGAGATACACTGAAGTAAAGAAAGGATTGGTTATACCATTATAAGTAGCTTAATATCAGTCATTATTACTCTTCCCATGATTACTGTCAAAAATAAGAGTTCTTCTGAAAAGGGATGACAAGACAGAATCATAGCAATACCAAGTTCAGCTTGTAACTGTGCATTTTCATACAGTTTGTTAAAACATCTCTTAGGAAAGAATTAACAATAGAAAACAGCTGCTATTAGAGGATGCAGACATCATATTTTTCATGGAAATTATTACCAATCCAGGAGTTTCTTATGCGAAATAAAAAAAAAAACAACTTTTGTGTGAGTGTTTAATTTTTTTAGCATTTCAGAGTTCAACTACTTACTTGTTTACAAAATCATTGTCAAATTCTAGAGGGACAATACTCCATGACTCTAGTTTCTTGCCATCTACGGAAACATCTCCGGACAAACCTGAAACACAATACATATATACAGTGTGAAAGATATCCCCAGATGAACCTGTCCCATATATGTGTGTGTGTGTGAGTGGGTGTGTGTGTATGTGTGTGATGGTGTGTGTGTGTGTGTGTGTGTGTGTGTGTGAGGGTGTGTGTGTGAGTGGGTGTGTGTGTATGTGTGTGTGAGAGACATAATACATACAACATGAAGAAAACATATCTGTGACACAACACAATTATATCTAAATCCAGCAGAGTAACACAATACATATATCTAAATCCACAGACAAATTTGTAACACATAATATTATACGTGAAGAAAACATATCTCTGACAAACTTGTAACACAATACATATATCTAAATCCACAGACAAACTTGTAACACAATACATATATCTAAATCCACAGACAAATATGTAACACAATATATACAAACATTGTGGCAAAACTTGTAACACAATATATACAAATGTCATGGTGAAACTTGTAACACAATACATACAAACGTCGTGGTGAAACTTGTAACACAATACATACAAACGTTGTGGTAAAACTTGTAACACAATACATACAAACGTCGTGGTAAAACTCGTAACACAATACATAAAACGTCGTGGTAAAACTTGTAACACAATACATACAAACGTCGTGGTAAAACTCGTAACACAATTTCTATCGTGCGTAAAAGATATCCCCTAATAAATCTGTAACAACAATAGACAGCGGAGACCATTATTGATCATGTGGAAACTGTAGCCTTCCTTTCCTGTATCCATGGTTACATAATTTATTGACAAATATCGAAAATCAAACTGATGTAACACATCATATTTTAATAAAGTTTGTATGTTTGTATAGACCCTTGAATAGTTTTGTCGATCACCAAACAGATAATACATCAAAATCATAAAATTCATCATCAAAGTCGTAAAATTGATGTATCATTTGAAAATAAATTTGAAAATGTAATTTCATGCAAATACTATAACTATCTATACTGATCCTTACCTTTTCTTTGTTCATTCAATAAATTTAGACCGAATTCAACATAATTGACACGTCCATGGTTCTCTACCAGTATCTCCAGCGTGTTGGTGTCCTTGGAAGATAGAACAGAAACCATAACAACGACAAGAACACACCAGTATGGGAGCAAAATCTGCTGTATTACTGGTTTCTACTCTCGGTAAAGCTAATATTGTGTATTTAAATTCATTTTTACTAATAATGAGAGACATTGTGTTAATTACTCAATGGCCTTGCTTTTCTGTTCAGATATAAAAAAAAAAAAAAAAATCCAACCAAATCTGATGTTGAAGTTTTGCTTTCGTTGACTTTTACATTTGGTGATATTTTGACACACAAGATGACTGTTTACATACCTGTGTGCAGACTATGTCTATTTCCAAACCAGGATTTCGCCAGTCAATCACATGAACAAAAGCTCCATTGATAAATATCTGAAGCAGATTGATTGACTATTTAGAATAATTTTGGTCATATGCTTGTTATCTATAAAGAATAAAAAAATTCTACACATGTGAGAAATTCCAAAAAAACCATAAATAGCATCTGTCATATTAACTGCAGCCAAATCAAGGTTAGTATGTTATGTTATGTTACTCCATTGATAAATATCTTAAACAGATTGATTGACTGTTTAGAATAATTTTGGTCATATGCTTGTTAGCTATAAAGAAGAAAAAGATTCTGCACATGTGAGAAATTCCAAAAAACCATAAATAGCATCTGTCATATTAAATGCAGACAAATCAAGGTTAATACATTATGTAACAAGCCGGCAACAATTTTAGTAATTTAATTGATCAAAGTAGACGTTTTAAAGTTAGATATCAGTAGGATTTGTATGATATGTATCTGTTATCTACAAACCTGTGCCCTATCCTGTGGAAGTGATGAAAACTGCAGACATTTCCCAGCTGGCATAGTGGTACGATACAGCGTATAACCGTAGTTCTGACCGTAATCACCGTGGATCTTTAAGAGCTCCATAGGTATCGGCGAGGAACACCTCACCTCATTCTGTATACCATCAGGACAAAGGACAGATATGTAATGAGTCTTGTTGTTATGTACCGAGAAAATGTTTGTTCAACTCTTTAACAAATCGTCAATATTGCCAAACCAAACCAGGCATATGAATTACTTCCATTATTATCATAAGATTAGGGCAAGATATAACTAAATATAAATATATGTTCTTATATAGATATCAGCATTTGCTCTTCTTTTAAATCTAGGCCATATTTCAATTACATCGTTCAAAGCAAATAATTAAAACTAGAAAGTGCATACCTTTGTAAAACTTAGCATGTCACTGAAACTCATTGCATGTGATCAATAATTTTGTATATAACTTTATTTTAAAAAAAATATCCACTGAAATACTGTGAATATAATTAAATCAAATATATTGAAATAAATATAATTGTATTTACTCTCACTAAATGAAAATAGAAGTCCTGTTTGTAAAGATGTTATATCTTGTATAATTGGGTAACTTCCTTTCCCTCTTCCTCCTAGCTGGGTACTAGTACATGTAGTTTAGGTTCTACCCATTTACATCAACTTACCATAGCTAGCTTTTGGTGTGTTTGATGGAAGGTCTGGTAACTTTGTGACACCTGTGTGAAGAAAGAAAGTAAAGTTGAAATATTTGAAATTCATTATTATGCCTGATGGTTCCGTTATTGTTAACCATTTTTTTCATTTGAGAAATTAATCAGAAAGATAGAAATTTGCAGATCTCATTCTTCTCATTCTTCTTGCACTTTTCAGTCGTCCCCATGTAAATCTTTCCTTTGTTCATAATTTGCCCTAGTTTTCCAAGTGGTATCAAATTCAAATTTTCATTTTATTTTTCAAAGATAAATGAAATATGATTCGAGCAGTAAGATATTGAACATAGAAAATAACATTGGACAATTAAACAGTGACACATTTGTTGATATTTTAACATACATACACATGTACATATATGCATTCTGTGTTAATATTTATATTTACCCAATGGTTTCAGGACCTTTTCGAAGATTATTTCTCTGGCTCTCAGAAACTTTGGTGTGATGTCTCCTGCTTCACTCAGAGGAGCGTCATAATCTACAGTGATAATCAACATCTTTCAGTTGGTGTATAGAACAAATACAGGATCTTTATGTCAATAGAACCTTACTCAATCTATAACATTTTTAATTGTTATCATAACATGAGAGTTATCAATATGCATTATGTTGATAACAGCTATCTCAAACAAAATACTTATAGTTTTTCTTTCATAGCACATCACAATTATGTAACAGAGAGGAGATATATTTGTCTATTGAATCTGAGTAATTTTTAGATACATCACATGTGTTATAATCTCAATACATACTTATTTTATGTAACAAAATGCATTAGTCATAATCACAGACATTTAAAGTGTTACTGACAAAAAAGGCCAGAGGATGATTTATCATATACTCATGTTTCTCACTTCAACTTTAACTTCTGTATCTCACTGACTCCATGTTGAATTACATCCTGCATGCAAAACGATGTTGTTACAGAGGAAAACATTTGAAAGCATCTTTTCTTGGCATATTCCATCAGTGTGTATTATCAGATTATTAATGGTTTACCATAGCTAGTGATGTCTGGTTTGTAAGTCGAATTAGCGAAGAAGTTTGCCCCAGCCATAAATCCGAAGTTTGTTCCACCATGAAACATGTACATGTTGAAGGAACCACCAGCATCTAATATTCCTGTCAGGCAGTTCTCGAACACTTCAGGGACAGAAATAAATGTATGATGTGTACAAGCAAAGGTAAGTAAAGCTTACACCTCAGAGTCAGATATCATTAGAATTTTTAAGTGAGCCTCTGATGAGCTAACATGAACAATTTTCAATGAGTTTCAAAGATCACCTATGGAACAGGAAATTTTTTTACAGGATTTCTATCACATGATCATGTAACTATTGCAGAGAACATTCTTTTGAATGTCCCACATCAATCACCTTGGCTCTATATCTGTCATCTTCTCTGTGACAGTATGTTAGATAAGTGTGCATGTTATATAACAGGGCTCTTGATCTGCCAGATTTGGGCCGATATTCGGCCCTATTCCCAATGCAAAATAGTATCTTTTTTCCCAATTTAGACCCAAAGTTTTCCCAATTCTAAGGAAAATGCCACTATTTTTCCCAATTCTAAGGGCCCCAGGTCCCAGTCCCAAAAAGGGGTGTGAGAGCCCTGTATAATATGGGTTCATACGCCAAATAGTACACTGGTATATCCTAGTGGAAGTTATGTTGTAATATATTGTAATAAATCATCCACTGATGTAACATTTGTATATGTCTCCTGATGTAAGAGGAGTAATTGTGAATTTTATTGTCCTTATTTGTCTCCCTTGTTGAACTCTTTTGTAAAGAAAAAGGAATAATGAGTTTTGGAAAGCTGATTATTGCAAAGAAAAATGTAAATTTATGAAAAAGAACTACAAATTCACAACAATGTGATCAATAAAACACCTTACTTTTGAGTAAAATCCTCAAACACTGCTGTTACAGACACAAGTCAAATATTTTTGATACATATACTGATATATGTTACCAGATGCTTAACTCTAAATGTTTCACAAAATTAACCATGTACAAAAAAATAAATTGAAAATTAACTAAATAAAAGTTGGAGCAACGAAACACATTATCTTCGAGCACTGTTCCGTTATACAAAGAGGACAACCTTAATATTAGTATGGTGATTACTACTGTCTATTTCAGTGTCAGTTTATGAAGGCTTCATCACTTACATGGCATGGCCAATCCTTTGTGACCTTGTCCCCAGTGGTCAAACCAGCCTGGCCAAAACTCCATTACCATAAGTGGGAAATCTGGACTCCACTCGCGGATCATATCAAAAAGTTTTTGACCGTCGCCCATTTCTGGAAAATTTGCTGTCGGCAGTGCATCTAGAAAAAGACCAACATATCCTATTTCTGTGTTTCCACGAATATGAATGTTTTAAAAATTTCTTATGGTTAATTAATATTATATTTCAAGGTCAAATATGGAATATTGACGAGTCAATATCAGAAAACAACCAGGGGAGTTATTAATTTCCACTGATTACTCGAATGTTAATGAAGGCATTCCGATTTGGACAGCAGCATTTTTCATCTGTAAATTCTTCTTTTTTTCCCCTCATATTATCGCAAAATTTCAACTCAGCGGCCACTCCATCCCTGCTCCCGAAATTGAACATATCACTAATCATTCATAAACAAAAAATGATGCAGAAAAAATTATTTACACAATGGATACTAAAATGATGTTCCTATGTCTTCAGTTTCTTACGTTGATAAAATGCTGCTCTTTTTAGCCCAAATATATTTTCTGAAGTGAGTAACAGTTCTTGAATTCCATTCTTCTCCAGCAACTGCAACAATGATGATTTAAAAAAATTGCTTTTGCTTCTAAAAATCATTACATGTAGATTGAGGTACAATTCCTTATTTGGCTCTACTGAAACAAATTATATATTTTGCTACTGAAATGTGTTATTTACCGAAGTTTGTGTCTATTGAACAATCATTGAATAGCAAATTCATTCTCTTACTTTTTCTTTACCTACATAATGTACAACGTATAAAAATATCATATCATTATTCCTATTTTTGTCTTTAAGGAAGGAATCCATTTGTGAATTTACATCAATTTCATTGATAATTTTCTTGATCTCAATGCGTTTGAAAACTTTATTGCAAGTTGTATATAAATGCTTAATAAATAAATACTATACATTGAAATTAGTTGGATATGTAATGTAAACAGCAAGCAAATAGATTCAAGAGATTCTCCATACATGTGAAAATGTGTATCACCACTTACCTCTTTGACGAAGGACAAATGTTCTACCTCGTCACTATAAGAACCAAATTCGTTTTCTACCTGGACAGCTATAATAGGCCCTCCTTTGGAATACTGGAATTAAAATGGTGATTTCAATAATAAAATCATTCTCTACTGATCAACTCTGCTTTCCAACGATTGTTTAATTGGTCATTCATCATATATCAAATTAATCAATAGTGTGTGTTACGTTTTCCTTAGCTCACCTGTTGCGAAGGATTGGTGAACTTACACCATGCTTCCATTTCAATCCATCATCTGTAGTTTGTTCACTCCCCTTCCCCTTACAAGTTGTTGCTTGTCATAACATCTGAGCAAATTTTTGACTAAATTGGTCCGAAGCATATTTGGGTGAAATGAACTCAATTTCATAAACAATTGGTCTGACTAATTTCTTGCAAAAATATAAATATGCATCCTTGAATGGAGGGAAACCAATATATAACCTGCAGATCTGGGCTCATGGGGGATGAGGGGCGGGGCCCAAATGGGGAAATAGAGGTAAATGTTTAAATCAATCCTTAATCTCTTTGGATGACGGAATTTTGATCAAAGATGGGTTGAAGGTTTAAAATTCCTCATCTCTGGAGAAAAACAGTATAAATAAATATGTGCAACAACTGATTAAACTGGTAATGCTTCCTGGTTGAATATTACATTTCAGTACAAATATTTCTAAAGAGTGTGAGTTTGATTATCGGTGTAAGGTTCTCACTTGGTAACCATATATACAGTTTAATAACATTTTGAAGGGCAACGGTAAAGATTTCTGAGTCAATCAAAGTCAATTCTAATTGGAAATCGGTAGCATTATGAATAATGATATTGAATCAAGATAAAAAATCGTAATCATAACACAGCCAATTTTAATTGTTGAAATGTACCTTATACCAACAATATACTTATGTGTGTATACGAACCTGTAAATATATGTTGAAACCTTTACCTGTAAATCTGTCACTAAAGGTAAGAGTTTGGTGAAAAATCTATCAACAGCATCTTGATACGGTTGGTAGTTACTTCGTACTTTCATTTTCTCGTCTGTCAGCAGCCAGCTGCAGTTAACAAACAAGACAGAATCACTGCCAATGTATCACCACAAATATGGACGTTATTTTGTAAAGATAAGTTTGATATGAAAGGTGATGTAGTTTAAAGATAACTCTTGTTCAATCCTATTGATAAAGAATGAAGTATATCTCCGATGAGTAATTTTGACAGACAAAAAGGTTTGGCTATCTTACGTTTGGTTTTCAAAACGATATTTTCAAATTGTAGTGAATTGCAATCAATGTTTCAATTAATTAGAAATCCTATAATTAATAATGTTTAAAGCAATGTTTTACTTATCGATAATAACATAATCATATTCATTTATTTTAATTTAATGTCACTTTGGAATAAAGATCTAAAAGTAGATATTAATTTTAGAAAATAAAAGATGAAAGTGCATATACCACAACTTTAGTAACTATTCTAATCAGTTTCAGATGAGAAATGAAATTTCTGCCAATGAAAAAAGTATTTACAGAATTTTGAATATCTAAATGTGTTTACTCTCAGTTATCAGTAAGTTAAATTTTCTGTTGATATGATCTTGATTTCTCGTACTCAATGATTGTAAAAAAAGACACAAAGGTGGAATAGCACCATTGAATACAGATTTGCAATTAGATACAGTACAGCCAAATAATGGACTGTATCACAAATCCGTTTCGTCCTTCTTGGACTCGTCAGTAAAGCTAAGGGCCTAAATTTTGAAACCTAAGAGGCGAGAAAATGTTGAAATCTCGATGAGAAGGAGCACAAGCCCTAAAAGTTGATAAATTTTGTAATTTTATATATATGTGTCTTATCATTTCAAAAGAACATCAAGTACATGTGTAAATTTTGGACGTGTCACTAAATGAAAGTTTGACTTGCGGAAGAAAAGATGCATAGTCATAAACAGGATTCACCAGGAGGCATGGTATAATTACGAGTGGTTAGTGGAAATTTTAAAATATGAATCAAACAATTGGAAACATTTTTTATTATGTCATACATGTTGATTTGTCGAGACATGTCAGATTGCTACATTTTGGGTGTTTATTTTGCATTAAACACTTTTTTACTTTCGGTGGCAGCAATTGATTTTTTTCACTAATCATTGATAACTGTAACTTTTGAGCGACTGAAGTCTGATTTCTAAGATATATTTTTTTCTTATTCATTTTCTTTGGAAACATAATATACAATACATACATATGATTATAAATGATTGTTGCCAATAAAGTGATAGGTATATTAACACTTAGGTCAATTAGGAGAAAATTTCTCAACCACGCAACCTATACATACAGCCAACAAAACAATAACAGAAAAAGGGCAAAAATGAAAAAGCCTGTCGATAGTCGTTACATGCAACTTTACGTGAAATATATACAATTTTAATATACTTATAACTTAACAGGGGTAGTGAAAGATACTGGTGCAAAAAACAACAAATAAACAACAGACATATATTTCTAATTTGGCACTGACAAAGAATAACAAACCTTGGCAGTCCACCGAAGTCCCACTCTGCACATATGTATGGACCGGGGCGGAATATCACATATAAACCAACTTTCTTGGCTACCTGCACAAATTTTCTAGAAATAGAAACAATGGCCATGGTGTTATTACATTGTATACAGTAAATGATATCGGTTTAGATATTTCTCTAGTAGAAGCTTATACAGCAACAAAATAAAAAGCAAAATCATCAGCATCAGGTTTCAAAAATAGTGACGCAAAGATGACGTAATTTTGTCAAAATCATGAAATGAATTTACTGTCTTCATTGCTATTTTCAAGGTACATATTTTCGAATCTAATTTTATCTTCAGAATGGCATAAAAAAAAAACTTAAATAAACAACTGTCTTTTCATTATGTTTTGTAATTACTAGGAATATATATGTACATAATTTCCATGTTATTTTTATCAAATACTTTAATAGCCCTTTACTTAATGACAGGACATTTTCAGGTGCAGCTCAAACTTACTGTACATTTGTAGATTATGCTTGTCAATGCTATTACAAAAACGAAAATCAACTAGAGTCAGATGTTTACATGTGATGGATAAATATTCTGTATATTTATTGAGCTTGAGCAGCATAACCATCCCAATCTGGTTTAGTAATGTATTTGCACATTAATTCACCGTGAAATTGTATGTGACATGTTGTAATTGGAAAAGAGAGAGAATAAGTATCCTTAAAAGGTGATGTTTGTAAATATGAGTAACAACTGTTTTCTTGTTTTCTTTGTAGTAACGTGTACACACCTGACATCTAGGATACCATCGAAGTTAAACTGGCCCGGGTATTCTTCATGTTTATTCCACGCCACGTAGCTGCAACAGTATAAGACACATTAATTTAGTGTATTATAGAATATACCTTATATCGTCAAATGGAGGTCCATTCATTACCTTTGAGAAACTACAAGTATTCTCAAATGCAGGAATCGTGTCGCCTTGTTCTGAATTTATGAGTTTATGCCATAAAAATTGTACATTTCATGAGGAAACACAGAAGTAGCAAAGTACCAGCTTTAACTTTGAAAGATATCCTACCACATTCGGTAACAATACTCTTCCACTGTGATAACGAGACGTGCTTAAGGATATATAAACTGTATTGCTGATGACAACAAATTATCGGCAGATTAACAGAGAACTGACAGCTGTGACAGAAAACCCGGACATGAAAGGATCCAGGAAGTAAAGAGTAAACAAAGTAACCCAGAACGATTTCCCAACTACAGGAGAAAAATGTCAAATCATTTAAGGTCCAGCTAACCTCTAAGTGTTTTATGAATAAGGACAAAAGCAGCATACTATAAATAAGCTGTTTCTTTAATTCAGTCAGCACCAAGGAGGTTTTTATATCATTACCTAATCAAGGGCCAAGGACATGATCATTACCTCATCAAGGGTTGAGGACTTTACATCATTACCTCATCAAGGACCAAGGACTTCATATGATAACCTCATCAGGGGACAAGGACTTTATCTCATTACCTCATCAGGGCCAAGGACATCATATCATTACCTCATCAGGGGCCAAGGACTTTATCTCATTACCTCATCAGGGGCCAAGGACTTTATCATTATCTCCTCATCAGGAGCCAAGGACTTTATCATTACCGCCTCATTCGGGGCCGAGGACTTTATATCATTACCTCCTCATCAGGGGTCAAGGACTTTATCATTACCTCCTCGTCATGGGCTGAGGACTTTATCATTACCTCTTCATCAGGGGCCGAGGCCTTTATCATTACCTCCTCATCAGAGGCCACAGACTTTATCATTACCTCATCATTAGAGGTTTTGGACTTAATCATTACCTCCTCATCAGGGGTCAAGGACTTAATCATTACCTCCTCATCAGAGGCCGAGGACTTTATCATTACCTCCTCATTCGGGGCCGAGGATTTTATCATTACCTCCTCATCAGAAGCCGAGGACTTTATCATTACCTCCTCATCAGAGGCTGTGTCCTTGTTTCCAAAAAGGGCATTAACGACATCTTCAAAATATATCCCCTAATCACATTGATGCCAATCTTTATCATTACCATGACCATGTATCCTAGAGGCCGTAACACTCATTTATGATATATGTTACTTTTATGGAAGACTGAAGAATCATTGTGATTCTCCAGAAGTACCAGCATTATCAAAGTAGGTTTCCATTCAGAGAAGTGTGAAGATATACAGGTCCTCATCAGCTGGCCACAGGACACATTATCATTACCTCATCATTAGAGGTTTTGGACTTAATCATTACCTCATCATCAGGGGCCGAGGACTTTATCATTACCTCCTCATCAGAGGCTGTGTCCTTGTTTCCCAAAAGGGCATTAACGACATCTTCAAAATATATCAGTATTCTAATCACATTGATGCCAATCTCTAGTCACTTGACCATGACCATGTATAACCTTTAACAGCAACACTCATTTATGATATATGTTACTTTTATGGAAGACTGAAGAATCATTGTGATTCTCCAGAAGTACCAGCATTATCAAAGTAGGTTTCCATTCAGAGAAGTGTGAAGATATACAGGTCTCTAAAAGCTGCAATACATGGACACATGGTGTCCAGACATTTCTTCTAGGGAGTGACTGTTTCCGATGGAAAGAAATGGGGCCGAACAGCTCTAAAGAGTAACTGTTACAAAAAGCAAGATGTGGGGCACGACAATTCTGGGGAGTGACTGTTCCTGAAGAAAGAAGTGGGACCATACAGATCTAGGAAGTTACTGTTACCTCGGGCAAGATGTGGGGCTGGACATTTCTAAGGAGTGACTGTTACAAAGGACAAGAAGTGGGGCATGACAATTCTAGGGAGTGACTGTTTCCGATGGAAAGAAGTGGGCCAAACAGCTCTAAGGAGTAACTGTTACAAAGGACAAGATGTGGGGCATGACAATTCTAGGGAGTGACTGTTTCCGATGGAAAGAAGTGGACCAAACAGCTCTAAGGAGTAACTGTTACAAAGGACAAGAAGTGGGGCATGACAATTCTAGGGAGTGACTGTTCCCGAGGGAAAGATGTGGACCAAACAGATCTTGGAAGTAACTGTTACCTTGGGCAAGATGTGGGGCATGACAGTTCTAGGGAGTGACTGTTTCCGATGGAGAAAAGTGGGGCCAAACAGTTCTAAGGAGTTAACTGTTACAAAGAGCAAGATGTGGGGCATGACAATTCTAAGGAGTGACTTGTTCCCAAGGGAAAGAAGTTGGGCCAATTAGTTCTAAGGAGTAACTGTTACAAAGGACAAGATGTGGGGCATGACAATTCTAGGGAGTGACTGTTTCCGATGGAAAGAAGTGGGCCAAACAGTTCTAAGGAGTAACTGTTACAAAGGACAAGAAGTGGGGCATGACAATTCTAGGGAGTGACTGTTTCTGATGGAAAGAAGTGGGACTATACAGCTCTAAGGAGTAACTGTTACAAAGACAAGAAGTGTGGCATGACAATTCTAGGGAGTAACTGTTACCTCGGGCAAGATGTGACGCATGACAGTTCTAGGGAGTGACTGTTTCCCATGGAAAGAAGTGGGCCAAACATTTCTAAGGAGTAACTGTTACAAAGGACAAGAATTGGGGCTGAACAGATCTAGGAAGGTACTGTTACCTAGGTCAAAAGCATTTGAAACACGCATCTGACATAAATTTGAGTATCGGACAGAAAACAAATGAAATCAGCCAGATGGATAAGAAGACTACAAGCAGATCAGTCTCGTTCGTGACAAGGAATATATTCTAAAGAAAGTGTGACGGTTATGGTCAATGTTCATTTTACGTTCGAAGTCATGTTTCACAGAAAGCAAATCTATGACAAGGTAATCATACTGTTTTTGAACTATACTATCAAAGAAATAAATACAGATATATACTTCTTTCAAACAAACTGAAATAAATTCCTTAGCTCAATCACCAAGACAGTCTCCATCCAGGAGTTCCCAGTCTAGTAGCATGCAGAAACTTTATTTATTTGACAACAATTATGAAGCAAGTTTTTTCCAACTTATGTTAATCATGCTTGTTGGCCCGGATGGAGCTGTGCGAGGGATCTTATTGTGGGAGGAAACCGGGGTACCCACGGAAAACCCATGTGGTCAGGCAGGTGACCCATGCCTTTTCACATCCATTCCGAGAATCAAACCCTGGATGGCTTGTCAATAGAGGTCAGTGATGAAGGTACTGATGGGAATGTCACAAAGTCTTTGCTATTGGGGAAAAAAATCCCATGGGGTATTCGTTATCGTACGATATTGCCTTGAAAAATGTTATCTGTGGTGGCTATTTCAGAAAAGCAAATTATGCCTTTTCCTCCAAAATAACAATGTGTTTTGTTTGTTCATGTGTATATATACTAAACAAAAAAAGAAAGGTAACACTACTTTATTCTGTGATTAGTTAATTAACCCCTTCATAAATCCTTACCAATCATGTACGAATAACGTAATTGATCAATTCTGACAAAACTGCAGCCATGGTTCATTATAAAACTTTGCGTTCAGTTGATTTTATTCGACTGTAAAGGACGTTGGGGTCAATTTCAAAGGTAACACCATTAGTAACGTGTATGGCCACCGTTTGCGAAGTAAACAGCATTGCAGCGTCGTTGCATTGAACTCATACACCGGCGGATAATTCGAGGAGAGATGTTGTTCCATTCAGCAATCAAGGCTTGGGCCAGCTCCTGCAAGTTTGACGGCTGATTTTGACGTTCTCTCAAGCGTCGCCCAAGAACCTCCCAGACATGCTCAATCGGTGACAAATCAGGTGATTTAGATGGCCAATCTAACACCTATACGTTATCCTGCTGCAAGAAAGTTCTGCTGACGCGACTGGTGTGCGCTGGTGTGTTATCCTGTTGAAAAATGGCGCCAACGCCATGGCGTCTTAAGAATGGCAGAACCACTGGTCTTAAAATTTCGTCCCGATATCGAATGCCGGTTAAATTGCCATTTAACACAACAAGCCTGGTACGAGTCCCCCCACAAATACCACCCCAAACCATTACACTTCCACCGCCAAAGCGGTCCCGTTCTGCGACGCAGCAGTTCACAAAACACTCCCCACGTCGCCACCGCACTCTGCGCCTTCCGTCACCGTGTTGCAGACAAAACCTGGACTCATCTGAAAACAGAAAGTTGTTCCATTGTCGTAAGGCCCAGCCATGGTGACACGGGTCCAGTTACGCCGATTATTTTTACGGTGACGTCGCAACAAATTGGGTCCAGTGTAGGGACACCGTGCTTTCAATTGGTAGGCCCTCAACCTGTTGCGGACTGTTTGGGGAGACACACGACACCCAAACAATGTCCTTGTAGTCTCTACTGCGGCTACAAATCGATTGCGCAAGTGTATCAATCATATACGACGGTCATCCCTGGCGGCCGTTTTACGGGGTCAGCCGCTTCGGGAACAATCGGATGTTGACCCAGTTTGGTTTAAACGACTTACCAACTGGCAAATTGTCTTAACACTGCAACCAAAATGCTGTGCAACTCGACAGCGAGACTCCCCAGCCTGGATCATGCCTACAGCCCTTTCTCTCTGTACTTGTGACAGCCGGGGCATAATGATAAAGTTGATAGATAGCAAGATTCGGTGATTTCTAAGTCCTAAGGATCTAAGGAACAGTTGTCATTTTGAATGTTTATGAAATTCAAGCGAAGATACAAGTTAGCCACAGAAAACCTCGTGCAGCTCTTTCGCTAATACAGACTTTAACGCTTGAATGATTTTGGTAACCCCCTTGGATTTTGTAATGTAAAACATTACCATTTTCTAATATTGCACAAACGTCATTTTGTTTTCACTCATTTACTGGTATTCGCCAAGGAAACATGTTAACCTTTCTTTTTTGTTTGGGTATATATATGTATGTATTTAGTTTCATACATCACACTTGTGCTTGTACTAATAAAGAAAAGGGAAACCCCCTCCAACCGTGTCGCTAGTAGAACGTCACAACGTACTTACGTTTCCACAGTGTTCAGGCCACAAGCTTTCATTTTGAGGAGGCGGTCCTCCCAGTACTCAGGAACCACCCGAAAGTAGTGCATGGTACCGCTGAGGATCCGAAGAGGTTTCTGGTCAAGTATAAAATCTCCATTCTTAAACGTCAAACTACCAGGACTTCTGTACGTTACTTCCGCCATGCTTCTGTAGAAGTAGTTGGAACTTTGCTGATCAGCAGGCAAAGCGTAGACACCTGCTATACATGTAATCTGGACATTAGGTATGGTAGCCGAGGGACCTACATACCCAAGGATCACAGGTGCTCGGTAAACAAAGCGCGTGTCCTGTATTGATAAGAAGTAAGATGGTGCATTGTTAAACTACGATTTAAAGTGATGAAGCACCCATATATATATACTTGAATACGCCTCATAATACACGTGAAGTATTGAAACTCACACACTCGCTTTCTTGCCTTCCGAGTAGTGTGAACAATATGAATAAAAATCGGAGGAGTGGTAGAAGAACTCATTGCATTCCTATACCTTAACTAAATAAATTCATTTCTAAAAAAAATCCACGGCTGACGGACTATAAAATTTGATTCTGTCTCGATCGCCATCTTATGATATTTGTTCTCTTTTGGTTCAGTTTTAACAATTTTTCATAGTGAATTACGTGTAAATGAATATCTTCTTTGAACATGTGATCCGAATAAAGTAGGAGTATTTCATTCATACTGGATATTTAATAATGATAATTAGGATTAGTTAATTTAGAAACTATCACATTCCATTAGAAATGTAATTTTACATAAGACAATTACTACCTTTTCAAACAATGTTTCACAAACGATTTATTTCGTTTGTGAAAAATCCATAGAATATCACATCAAAACGATGTAAAAATATAAAGGGTGAAACATCACTTTACACCCACTGATTGATTGGTTTGTTGGTTGGTTGGGTCGATCGATCGGTCGGTCGCTTTGTCGGTTGAATGACTGATTCATTTCATTTATTTCGCAGTGGTACTGGTACCTTGTTACTTTAATTAACGAAATTTTTATTCGATATATTGCACATACATATATTATACAAATTAACTCCTCGGTCTGACTTTTTATTGAATTAATGCATTAAATTTATGTCAATTACTGAATGAAGACCCAATATAGCAAACTACTTGTATTCACTCGATCAATGACTATCACCAATGACGTATATAAACGTATTTTCGTGTGGGCTGTTTTTTGCAAGTGGGAAGGGAGGTAAATCGTATTCTTTTTTAAAAAGAAAACGAGCACCGCCCTTTTAATTTTTGTCAGTGACTGATCAGCGATATATCGTTTTAAAATCTGTTTGTTTGCAATTATTTGTTAAGAACACCATTTAACACGAGGAAAGATGTTATTTTAAACATTTCGACCTACTTTGAATTGTACTAAGGTTTGTCTATTTTCCTCCAAAAAATCCCAATGGTGCCCCTAACGGTAACTTATGCGCCTTTTAATTTTTTTACAACAGCTGACTCAGTTCACATCTAAACCGGGATTGAAAAGTAGATATCACTGACGGGGTGACTTCGAATTGTATCGACAACCCTTTCAAAATTGACTTTTGACTTGAAATGCACGTGCACAAAAGTGTAAGCCGGTGTCGCTTGCCGGTGTGGTGGAAGTAGCTCGGCCTGTCATCACCCTACCTGTAGGTCCGTCACGCTCCTAGATAATGAGATAATCAAATTTCATTAATATTCATAAGTCATTCGCATTGTCCAATCAAACCGTGCGACCTTACTAAACCAACCAATCAACATCTACTATAGGTCAATCCATCTGCCCTAGAAGAGATGGCGTCGATTGGAGTAAGTACAACTTTGGCTAGTTTACTACGTCAATTTTTAGATGTTTTTCATTTGAAATTTAAATTTTAAAGGTACTCTGTAGCGTGCTTACACGATGTAGATAACAGAAATATGAAAAGTCTCTACTGTTAGACCTTCAGCGTTTGTAAATTTAACCGAAACATTACGAGCCTGACACTGACAACCCTCCCTGATTTCGGGGTCACCGTAAAGTTGTTTATTTACTTCAACTTCGGTAAACAGGTGATTTGAATAGTGACACATGCAAAAAAGTGTCTTTTTTATTGATACGACATTCATTTAATTGCATCATCTCTTTCGATGACATATGTACGACGTTGCATGAGGTAGGAATAGATAAAAATTAGAAACCGCTGTGCCGACAGTCCAACTGAACGTAATTTGGCACGTTTCACTTTGCACTGTCGCGCGCGTCCTGCCGAGGTGAAATCGTTGAGAGGCCACCAACGGGGATTTCTTCTGTAGAAGTCTGTTATTTTTTTTTCAACTAACGAATCTTATGTTTAGTGTCGTTCATTCATTACACATTTAATTGGGCACGTTTTATTATTGTTTATCATTGAGACATTACTACAATGTTGAGGTAGAATTTATTAAAAAGTTCAGACACACATTTATCTACACAGGGGGCCAATAATCAGAGTGATACATTTGTCTTACCTAGAGAAGGTTACATAATAAATCAGATAGGAACTGAACACTCTCATTCTTGACAGATAGAATGATTTGTAATATGAAATAGCATAATTTCAAGCTGAGAAAGTGCAGCTGTAATTCAAACCTAGAATTTCAAATCCTCAATATAAGGATATTATAGGTACACAGGTTTTTGTCCCCATAACTCTTACTTCATCGAAGTATTCTCTAGACAAGTTGGTTGCTTCAAGTAATCACCATGAAGATCACAAGTGGAGTCATGAATATTTGAATTTCTGCCTACTTCTTCTATATGAAATCTTTGAGATGAATCAGATTTCACAGGGGAGGGAATTTCCTTCTGTGGGTCTAGTTAGTTGGATCAGAGACGTATATAACGTTATATGTGATATATACATCTCTGGTTGGATACTAAATGTGAAAAGAAATGGAAAATGTGTTAACCAGACTAGGACTTTCAAAGGGGACCCTCCTCATATTGTTTACAACCAGTTGGGTTACTTGCCAAGTTGGATATTCTGTTCATCCTCCACTGAAAGGCTGTAATATTGAAATCTTTTATCCTACTTAAAGTGACCATACAAACTTTACAAACATTATGTCATCATCCAGTACAAAATCCTACTTCAGATTTGTTTATTTATTAGAAAGTCTTCAGAACTGAGGAAGAAATCTGGTCTGCAACCTGTTTGATTTACTTGAAGTATGATTTGACTGAAATTCTTTCTACATTTGTAAAGTCTATTTATTATTTCAATGCATTTGTATTAGCGATCAAATTAAACACTTAATTATAATTGTGCTAATAAAGTTAAATTGAATTGAATATCACAAATATTTATGATATTTCATCTCATGCATATTTTAATGATATTATAGGCCAAGGGGCCAAGCCACTCCAAAAGGACCCCAATAGTGACACAACGGATGCAGCAATTCAAACAGCGTTCCCATGGTGATGTATCAACACAGAAGCTGCACCGTTGTGAGGCCAAGGGCTGTGATAAGGCCTTCACAAGTCTGCCCGGACTTAAGTATCACATGAACACTAGCCATAGTGAGACACACCAACAGTTCCATTGTCATATGTGTCATAACTCATTCAAAAGGTAAAAGTTCGTATTAAAATAATAAAAATTGATAAAAAAAATTGAGGGAAAAAAAGTAAGTTTCAGTGGAAGACTGACTACATGTTTAAACTTTACAGTAGATGTTAGGCGCAGCCATGTTTGGAAGAGAGAGATTTTATTTAAATTTGTAATGAAAATTGATAGTGTGGTTGTATTTGTGCTGAGAGATATTGCTATACATTGTTGTTCACTGATGTATATTTAATTGCATGCTTAGCACCAGTGGTTGTAGGCTGTAAACATTGTAATACAATTTTTTGACCATGTGTGATATTGTAAACATTGTAATACATTGTTGTCATATGTGTTTCTTTGCTTGCAGTGCTAATGGTCTGAAGTACCACACAGAGAATAAGAAGGCAAAGTGCCATGAAGAGGGTGGGACACAAAAGTCATGCTTCTGTTGTCCAGAAGTCGAGGCAGACACCACCACTGGTCAGCAGTCTGGGGTCTCAGATAGTGAAGGTGACCACATCAACATTGAGGAGATTGTTAGTGACAGGAATTTTTCGTGCTGCTCAGAACTCAAAGATAAATTTATGGGTGCAAATGAGGGCATACAGAAGGAAACTAAAGGTAAGAAAAATGAAATCAGTGAAAGGCAGACCTGTATTCCAAAGGGATCTAAGATTGACCTTTACAATCTGACAGGTACAATGACTGACTTTTACTATGGGACAGGTGGTAGGACTGACCTCTGCTATCAGAAAGGTGCAAGAAGTGCCTTCTACCATAGGACAGGTGCTAGGACTGATCTCCACAGTCTTACAGGTGCTAGGACTGACCTCCAAAATCTGACAGGTGCAAGAACTGATCTCTATAATGTTGTGGGTGCTAGGGTTGATCTCTACAGTCTGACAGGTACAATGACTGACCTCTACAATCTGACCAGTGCTAAGACTGACCTCTACAATCTGACAGGTGCAAGAACTGACCTTTATAATGTTATGGGTGCTAGGATTGACATCCACAATAATCTTATTCACACCACTTAATTTGAAAGTCACTGTGACCCACAATTAAAGGTATCATCAGAGATACATTGTGAGTATTAATCAGTGAGTTGTGTTTGCTATTCAGACACATGTCAAAGTCAGTCAACATTAGAATAGAAAACAGAATGGCACTTGTAATGGCTTCCTCAACAAAATTTTGAAGAAATGGGATGTGAATTTGGAAGCCAGTCAAACAGGAAATATTTCTCCGAAACATTAAAGGTTTATATCTGGCGTCCATGATTATATGGAATATGCAATGATAGGGACATTGATGATGACCCACCTCAACCATGTAGTAAATCAACAACAAATGACGCATGCCAGGGACTTCAGACTGTTATAAGGTACTTGGAATACACACCTGACGTTCGAGACTTGCTGTTTGCATGTGTACGTGACATGGATACATTTTTGACCAACTTCTTTCATACTAAAGGTATTTTGTGTGTTGCTTATACATGCATTTTACCTGTACCATACACTATCGTATACGTTGATAAGACGTTTATAGAAAGCCAACAAAGTCTAAAAAGCTTGTCTCCAGTTTAATTGGAACCCAGATAATTTTAAGTATTTTGTCATTCTCCAAATGTTTCAATATAACCAGGTTTGGCTATAGATCAATATGTTTGGTAATGAGGCTGATCTCTTGTTACTGGACCAGTAAGTTTGGTACTGAGACTGATCTCTTGTAACTGGACCAATAAGTTTGGTACTGAGACTGATCTCTTGTAACTGGACCAATAAGTTTGGTACTGAGACTGATCTCTTGTAACTGGACCAATAAGGTTGGTGCTTGATGTTGTCTCTTGTAACTGGACCAATAAGGTTGGTAGTGAGACTGGTCTATTGTAACTGTACCAATAAGGTTGGTACTGAGCCTGATCTCTTGTAACTGGACCAATAAGGTTGGTGCTGGATGTTGTCTCTTGTAACTGGACCAATAAGTTTAGTGCTGGATGTTGTCCCTTGTACCTGGACCAATAAGGTTGGTAATGAGACTGATCTCTTGTAACTGGACCAATAAGGTTGGTACTGAGACTGATCTCTTGTAACTGGACCAATAAGGTTGGTACTGATACTGATCTCCTGTAACTGGACCAATAAGTTTGGTGCTGGATGTTGTCTCTTGTAATTAGACCAATAAGTTTGGTGCTGGATATTGTCTCTTGTAACTAGACCAATAAGGTTGGTAATGAGACTGATCTCTTGTAACTGGACCAATAAGGTTGGTACTGAGACTGATCTCTTGTAACTGGACAAATAAGGTTGGTGCTGGATGTTGTCTCTTGTAACTGGACCAATAAGGTTGGTAGTGAGACTGATCTCTTGTAACTGGACCAATAAGTTTGGTACTGAGACTGATCTCTTGTAACTGGACCAATAAGGTTGGTGCTGGATGTTGTCTCTTGTAACTGGACCAATAAGTTGGTAGTGAGACTGGTCTCTTGTAACTGGACCAATAAGGTTGGTACTGAGCCTGATCTCTTGTAACTGGACCAATAAGGTTGGTACTGAGACTGATCTCTTGTAACTGGACCAATAAGGTTGGTGCTGGATGTTGTCTCTTGTAACTGGACCAATAAGGTTGGTAGTGAGACTGATCTCATGTAACTGGACCAATAAGTTTGGTACTGAGACTGACCTCTTGTAACTGGACCAATAAGGTTGGTGCTGGATGTTGTCTCTTGTAACTGGACCAATAAGGTTGGTAGTGAGACTGATCTCTTGTAACTGGACCAATAAGGTTGTTAGTGAGACTGGTCTCTTGTAACTGGACCAATAAGGTTGGTACTGAGCCTGATCTCTTGTAACTGGACCAATAAGGTTGGTAATGAGACTGATCTCTTGTAACTGGACCAATAAGGTTGGTGGACCAATAAGGTTGGTAGTGAGACTGGTCTCTTGTAACTGGACCAATAAGGTTGGTAGTGAGACTGGTCTCTTGTAACTGGACCAATAAGGTTGGTACTGAGCCTGATCTCTTGTAACTGGACCAATAACGTTAGTAGTGAGACTGGTCACTTGTAACTGGACCAATAAGGTTGTTGCTGGATGTTGTCTCTTGTAACTGGACCAATAAGTTTAGTGCTGGATGTTGTCCCTTGTACCTGGGCCAATAAGGTTGGTAATGAGACTGATATCTTGTAACTGGACCAATAAGGTTGGTAATGAGAATGATCTCTTGTAACTGGACCAATAAGGTTGGTAGTGAGACTGGTCTCTTGTAACTGGACCAATAAGGTTGGTAATGAGACTGATCTCTTGTAACTGGACCAGTAAGGTTGGTGCTGGATGTTGTCTCTTGTAACTGGACCAGTAAGGTTGGTACTGAGGCTGATCTCTCGTAACTGGACCAATAAGGTTGGTACTGAGGCTGATCTCTTGTAACTGGACCAATAAGTTTGGTGCTGGATGTTGTCTCTTGTAACTAGACCAATAAGGTTGGTAATGAGACTGATCTCTTGTAACTGTACCAATAAGGTTGACACTGAGAATGATCTCTTGTAACTGGACCAATAAGGTTGGTAGTGAGACTGGTCTCTTGTAACAGGACCAATAAGGTTGGTACTGAGCCTGATCTCTTGTAACTGGACCAATAAGGTTGGTAATGAGACTGATCTCTTGTAACTGGACCAATAAGGTTGGTACTGAGACTGATCTCTTGTAACTGGACCAATAAGGTTGGTGCTGGATGTTGTCTCTTGTAACTGGACCAATAAGGTTGGTAGTGAGACTGATCTCATGTAACTGGACCAATAAGTTTGGTACTGAGACTGACCTCTTGTAACTGGACCAATAAGGTTGGTGCTGGATGTTGTCTCTTGTAACTGGACCAATAAGGTTGGTAGTGAGACTGATCTCTTGTAACTGGACCAATAAGGTTGTTAGTGAGACTGGTCTCTTGTAACTGGACCAATAAGGTTGGTACTGAGCCTGATCTCTTGTAACTGGACCAATAAGGTTGGTAATGAGACTGATCTCTTGTAACTGGACCAATAAGGTTGGTGGACCAATAAGGTTGGTAGTGAGACTGGTCTCTTGTAACTGGACCAATAAGGTTGGTAGTGAGACTGGTCTCTTGTAACTGGACCAATAAGGTTGGTACTGAGCCTGATCTCTTGTAACTGGACCAATAACGTTAGTAGTGAGACTGGTCACTTGTAACTGGACCAATAAGGTTGTTGCTGGATGTTGTCTCTTGTAACTGGACCAATAAGTTTAGTGCTGGATGTTGTCCCTTGTACCTGGGCCAATAAGGTTGGTAATGAGACTGATATCTTGTAACTGGACCAATAAGGTTGGTAATGAGACTGATCTCTTGTAACTGGACCAATAAGGTTGGTACTGAGACTGATCTCTTGTAACTGGACCAATAAGGTTGGTACTGATACTGATCTCCTGTAACTGGACCAATAAGTTTGGTGCTGGATGTTGTCTCTTGTAATTAGACCAATAAGTTTGGTGCTGGATATTGTCTCTTGTAACTAGACCAATAAGGCTGGTAATGAGAATGATCTCTTGTAACTGGACCAATAAGGTTGGTAGTGAGACTGGTCTCTTGTAACTGGACCAATAAGGTTGGTAATGAGACTGATCTCTTGTAACTGGACCAGTAAGGTTGGTGCTGGATGGACCAGTAAGGTTGGTCTGAGTTTCTCTTGTAACTGTCTCTTGTAACTGGACCAGTAAGGTTGGTACTGAGGCTGATCTCTCGTAACTGGACCAATAAGGTTGACTGAGGCTGATCTCTTGTAACTGGACCAATAAGTTTGGTGCTGGATGTTGTCTCTTGTAACTAGACCAATAAGGTTGGTAATGAGACTGATCTCTTGTAACTGTACCAATAAGGTTGACACTGAGAATGATCTCTTGTAACTGGACCAATAAGGTTGGTAGTGAGACTGGTCTCTTGTAACAGGACCAATAAGGTTGGTACTGAGACTGATCTCTCATAACTGGACCAATAAGTTTAGTGCTGGATGTTGTCTCTTGTACCTGGGCCAATAAGGTTGGTAATGAGACTGATATCTTGTAACTGGACCAATAAGGTTGGTAATGAGACTGAACTCTTGTAACTGGACCAATAAGGTTGGTACTGAGACTGATCTCTTGTAACTGGACCAATAAGGTTGGTACTGAGACTGATCTCCTGTAACTGGACCAATAAGTGTGGTGCTGGATGTTGTCTCTTGTAATTAGACCAATAATTTTGGTGCTGGATATTGTCTCTTGTAACTAGACCAATAAGGTTGGTAATGAGACTGATCTCTTGTAACTGGACCAGTAAGGTTGGTACTGAGACTGATCTCTTGTAACTGGACCAATAAGGTTGGTACTGATACTGATCTCTTGTAACTGGACCAATAAAGTTGGTGCTGGATGTTGTCTCTTGTAACTGGACCAACAAGGTTGGTACTGGGCCTGATCTCTTGTAACTGGACCATTAAGGTTGGTACTGATACTGATCTTTTGTAACTGGACCAATAAGTTTGGTGCTGGATGTTGTCTCTTGTAACTAGACCAATAAGGTTGGTAATGAGACTGATCTCTTGTAACTGGACCAATAAGGTTGGTAATGAGACTGATCTCTTGTAACTGGACCAATAAGTTTGGTGCTGGATGTTGTCTCTTGTAATTAGACCAATAAGTTTGGTGCTGGATATTGTCTCTTGTAACTAGACCAATAAGGTTGGTAGTGAGACTGATCTCTTGTAACTGGACCAATAAGGTTGGTACTAAGACTGACCTCTCATAACTGGACAAATAAGTTTGGTGCTGGATGTTGTCTGTTGTAACTGGACCAATAAGGTTGGTACTGATACTGATCTCTTGTAACTGGACAAATAAGTTTGGTGCTGGATGTTGTCTGTTGTAACTGGACCAATAAGGTTGGTACTGATACTGATCTCTTGTAACTGGACCAATAAAGTTGGTGCAGGGATATGCGTATGCACAATAATATGATAAGTGCTGGAAGGAGTTCTATGCACTGATCAGTGAGGTCAGTAGTTATTATGTCTTCTACAGACATGTAGTCATTGGGAACAAATAAAAAGATAGAGTACTAGAGTACCTTGTATAAAAATTATGATATTGAGAGAGACTTGGCACAATTTATCTCATAGACTGTCGGTTGTGAATTCATGCCGAGCCCTGTGATAATTATTAATTATTTGCAGCATCTATAGAGGTGAGGATCAAGTTACCAACGTACTAAGGTCTAAATCTGACGATTGACTGTCTACAGAGAGAACCTTATAAATGATATGACTAAGTAAACCTTGTTTGTTGAAGTGTTGCACTGATATGCACACTGAACTCGCATGTGGATGGGAATTTTCATGCCTCATTGTAAGGAATATTATACACTGACAAAAAAAATTTGTTATGTAATTTCTGCCACACTATATTATGTCATTTAATCATTTCCTGCCGGAGATTGCATCATTGATATATTAAGACTGTGGAATCATTTATATAAGGCGGAGTTATAAATAAATAAAGAAACGTGACACTCATTGGCTGTGATCGAGGGGCAGTTTTCCTTGTAAAATTTTGTCCTGAAAAGTAGCTTGACGTACAGAGTTGATGGGATGGAGTTAACCATATTTTCGGTTTTGGATCAGTGATTTTAACTGATTTGACCACTGAGAGGTAGGTACGTCATTATGTTCGTGACTGACTACAAACATACTGGAACTATACATAGTTAGGAAGAGGGTGTGACTCACATAATTCATGTTCAGGATATATTGTTAATTAAAGTAGTGATTTTTGTACAGGTTTGTTCTAACCTTAAAATAGTAGCTACTACAGGTAAGAAGTGCACATGTTGTTGAACCTTGAATTTAATTATTAGCAATTATATATCACTGGTTTAACTAACAAGGATCAGTATCAAGTCCATGCGTGGTAAAAACCTCTCCAATGTAAATATGTCTGCCTTTCAGTGAAATTACAAATCAGATCTATCTCATTGTGTAGCAGTAAGCCCATCCCCTGACTTGCGGTGAAAAGTCGGGTGTTGGCACCCTGGATTTTTCATTGCACAATAATTATAGTGACTATGAAATTGTTCTTGTATGGTTTAAAGAATTCTATGCAGACTTTAAAGATACAAAGCAAATAAATCATAAAAGTTAGAGAACTTTTCAATTGATGTAATTTCAGAATTCGAAAAGAAGGTGCCCCCTCCTCTTCAACTTTTGGAGGAGGACGTTAGCATCAAGGATTCAGATAACATGCAGCAGCTGGGGTGTGGGGAGGCTTGTAAACTCTATAAGGGGCCAAGAACAGACTCTCGGGCCTCAAGGGACAACGTTCCAACAGAGGTCGGAGCTGGTGCGGCGGACATGCTGAAAGAGTTTGCCATCATCGCCACCAGCCCACAGAGTCCACTGATGCAGACTGGTCAGCCCTTCTGCTGGGACAAACATGTACAAGCTGAAAAATCTAAGTAGGTTTTGTTTATTAACTGTTTATTTACAAGCAAGATGTATTCAGGCACGTTTGAGACTAAAATATATCTGAAACATGTAACTATGCCAAGGTGGAATTGATGTAACAAGGGTTGTTATTTGTTTCAATGACACTGCAAGGATTCGAACCAGGAACCTCTGGCTTATTAGTCTTATGCTCAAATTGATCAAAGTGGAGGGAAGAGGTTAGTGGAGTGGTATATTACAGCTGGGTTTTTACTAGAGTTACACTTACAGGAAGTATCATAGTAATCTGCTATTTGAAATGAATAGTATATCTTTCTTTTTTTTCAGTTAATTTTGTGCTTGGTATTAAAAAAAAATCATTTCATCAATCAAATTAGGAAAGATAGCTGATATTTATGAACTTTTCTTCAGATACAAGTAATTAAGATATTGTTCCACATGTCAAGTGTCAGTTTTCACAAACAAGACCTGATGTAAGTATGCTTGTGTGACTTGTTGCTCAGATCCATGGGCATGGAGGATCAAAAGTTGGGAGAGGGCAAGTTGGCAGGTTACCATGGGAACAGTGACTACTCCGATAGAAACCTAACCAATGAGACAGTCTCTCAACAGGAGAAAGGCAGCTATTATTATAGGTGTGTATCTTTGCAGGATAATACCATATAAGGAATTTATATCACTACATGTAAATTTTGCCACTAAATGTTAGAACGGAAATTAAAGGTTTTAGCCATTCCATGATTTTAACATTGAAGAGCAGGAACTAGAGATATGAAATGTAACTTCTGTTTTTAGTTAGCAACTGTACACCTTGTGCTGAGTACTTTTGTAATAGCTAAAAAGCAATGTGATTGTTGGTCTTCATGTTATCCTGTTGACCTTGTGATAACCTTTAATGACCTTGACCTTTTACAGTGATCACAGTGAGGATGGCAGTGACCCTCGAGTGACTTCCTCCTCACCCTTCCCAGCATCCAACTCTATTGACGGGGACTGGTCCCATAAATGGCCGACAGCTGTCTGGCAGTGTTTTGTTAAAGGTAATTATGTGTACTGTACTTGAAATTTACAGGATGATACCTGTGCAAGCTGTTAATAAGAATACACCAGTTCAATGGGCCATTTTGAAACCTTTAACATTTGTCTCATTACCATGCTCATATACCTGACTGTGTAATTATGTATCTTCTGTTTTGTATATGTTTTATTCATGATAAAAAAATTTCAGCTTTTTATCAGCGCAACATCAATTACATATCACAACCATACTTCAGATGTTTTAGATTTTAGAAAACAGATCAGTTTCGATAAAGGTATTGACCTCCTTACCAACAAATCTTGTATGTAGTTAATAAGTATTATCTTCTTTTAACCAATGGCTGTCCTTTAGGATATGTAAGTATTACATGCACCTGAAAGGTAAATGTTGTGACATAGGACACTTGACATTTGGACTACTATTGTCATTTTCTATTTCCATATTACCTGCGTCAAGTTTTTTCACTTCATTGTTGTGACAAAGTGTATACTTCATCAATGAATTACCTTTTGATATGGATACAATGGATTGTAACTGCTAATTACCTTGTTAACATACAATATATATATCCAGCAATAAGCCTGTTCCTGGTAATAAGCCCACCCATATATATGAGAGGAAATGCTAGCAAATTTTTTCATTGTCTTGCACAAAGTCTGCCACAGGATTTTTGGTGTTGGCTTTTTGGAATTAGCAATTGGAGAATAAAAGTCTTTTTTCTTTGATTCAGAGGCAAGAGAAATTCTAATCCTGTTAGATTTAGAGATATTTACAATATGACGTTATATATAAATTTGACATAATCTGCTTATGTGCTGGATCATTCAGGATCAATGCAAATAGTCCATTTCAGTTGGAGTTATCTCCCTTGCTATTCTCCTTCCTAGATGGATTTAGATGGAATACTTCATCTGCACCGATAATAATCAAACTTCTTGTTTAGTATTCAGAGGAGTCATGGTCATGATTTTAGTACACAGCTTTATTTATTTTTAATTGTTTTTGCTTTATGTTAGGGAACTATCATACAACTTTTAAACAGATGTTTGTGTTGTTACTTGGCTGTTTTACTGTTGAATACATATGAATGACTCTGTGATGCATGCTTATTTTATTTAATGTCCACATTTTTTATCAATGTGTAGATAGTAAGTAATTATTGTTGTCATTTGTTAAAATTCATGATAATTCCTCCCAATTATCGTGTATTAGCTGATGTGTAAAATATGAATGACCATTATTCTATTTTATTGGAAAAAAAACCCCCAAAAAACCACTCATATGAAAGACAAGACCTACAATGTTTTTGAAATGAACAACACTCACTCACCCACAAAGGCATAAGATTAATACTGAAACCTTCAGTACATTCTTCAATCTTAATTTCCCTTTTAAGTTGCTACATAAAAATAAGAAACAAAGTTTTTGCCTTTCACTTTGAATACAGCTATATACAAATAAAATCTATGAAATTTGTGGTTTTGAACTCTTTGTGGATTTATTGGCAGTCGTGTAGCATGGGTTGGAATAAATGCGGAGCAACATACCTGCACATATAGTGGAGTCATAAACATAACTGTCACATTGATGGTGCACATTTTAATGATGGAAATTATAAGGAATCAAAGGCATTGCAAAAAGCATGTTAACATCTAACCCACGGCCAGACAATAATTGTGTAGCGCATCTTATCACAAGATAATGAAAGGTGATTGGTTGACCTTGTGGTTGACCTTTCAAGAAACTGACAAAGTATAGGGTGCTTGGTTGACCTTGTGGTTGAATTTTCAACAAAATAACCAATTATAGGGTGGTTGGTTGACCTTATGGTTGACCTTTATACAAATTGACAAGGGATTAATTCCCCAGTTAGATTTGAATATTCGGTATGAGGTAATCTTCTGATGATTCAGGTTTCCTTTCACATACAAACCCATACATACTTATATCTGGGCCAACAAGAATAATTAACTCACTTTCATAATTGTTGGAAAATAAATAAGGATGACTGATGACCAGTTGGATTCTCAGAGAGATTTTGTTTAATACACTTTCTAGAGAAAATTGACCAAAATATGGAATTTTATTTTGTACTTGTTTTTTAATGAAGAAAATATCATCAGTCTCATTAATTCATTATTTCACTTTTTTAGAAATCAACATCAAAATTTATTCAAACATTGAAAATAAGATTTTAATGTTACTTCAGATTTATTCTATTGTAATAACAGCAGTGATATGTTCGATCTTACAGGAACTATAGTGCACTTTATAGATGGTAATGGAGACTGGAAAAGTGTGGAGGAGCTAGCAAGGCATAAAGAACTGTCACAACAGGCCTGTAGACAGGGCAAATGTCCAAGGTAAGGCTTCACAGCAGTCCAGTAGACTAGTCCCAGGTAAGGTTACACTGTAGACCTGTAGACAGGGCACAAGTCCCAGGTAAGGTTACTCTATAGGCCTGTAGACAGGGCACAAGTCCCAGGTAAGGTTACTCTATAGGCCTGTAGACAGGGCACAAGTTCCTGGTAAGGTTACTCTATAGGCCTGTAGACAGGGCACAAGTCCCAGGTAAGGTTACTCTATAGGCCTGTAGACAGGGCACAAGTTCCTGGTAAGGTTACTCTATAGGCCTGTAGACAGGGCACAAGTCCCAGGTAAGGTTACTCTATAGACCTGTAGACAGGGCACAAGTCCCAGGTATGGTTACTCTATAGGCCTGTAGACAGGGCACAAGTTCCTGGTAAGGTTACTCTATAGGCCTGTAGACAGGGCACAAGTCCCAGGTAAGGTTACTCTATAGGCCTGTAGACAGGACACAAGTTCCAGGTAAGGTGTCACAGCAGTCCTGTAGACAGGGCACAAGTCCCGGGTAAGGTTACTCTATAGACCTGTAGACAGGGCACAAGTTCCAGGTGAGGTTACTCTATAGGCCTGTAGACAGGGCACAAGTCCCAGGTAAGGTGTCACAGCAGTCCTGTAGACAGGGCACAAGTCCCAGGTGAGGTTACTCTATAGGCCTGTAGACAGGGCACAAGTCCCGGGTAAGGTTACTCTATAGGCCTGTAGACAGGGCACAAGTTCCAGGTGAGGTTACTCTATAGACCTGTAGACAGGGCACAAGTCCCAGGTAAGGTTACTCTATAGACCTGTAGACAGGGCACAAGTCCCAGGTAAGGTTACACTATAGGCCTGTAGACAGGACAAGTCCCGAGTAAGGTTACACTATAGGCCTGTAGACAGGGCACAAGTTCCAGGTAAGGTTAGTCTATAGGCCTGTAGACAGGACAGAAGTTCCAGGTGAGGTTACACTATAGGCCTGTAGACACGGCACAAGTTCCAGGTAAGGTTACACTATAGGCCTGTAGACAGGGCACAAGTTCCAGGTAAGGTGTCACAGCAGTCCTGTAGACAGGCAGGATTTCACTGTAGGCTTTTGGACACTGCATGTGTCACAGGTGAGGTTTCACAGCAGTCCTGTAGACAGGGCACTTGTCACAGGTAAGGTGATACACCTTGTGGATAGGACACAAGTGCCAGGCAAGATTTCACTGTAGGCTTTTGGACAGAGCTTTTGTCATGGATAAGGTGTCGCAGTAAACTGGTAGAAAGGTTTTGCTGTAGGCCTACATGTACTCCTCTAGCTTACAGACATATGTTATTCTCTAAAAGACATACATGCACTTCTCAGTCATACTTGTACTAAGTGATAACTGTACTTATGTAACAAAAGCATCTGTACTTCTCTAACAGACACACCTGTACTTCTTCTCTAACAGACACACCTGTACTTCTCTAACAGACACACTTGTACTTATATAACAGATACACCTGTACTTCTCTAGCAGACAAACATGTACTTCTCTAACAGACACACCTGTACTTCTCTAACAGATACACCTGTATTTCTCTAGCAGACACACCTGTACTTCTCTAACAGACACACCTGTTCTTATCTAACAGACACACCTGTACCTCTAACAGACAGACATGTACTCCTTTAACAGACACACCTGTACTTCTCTTACAAACGCTATATGCTTTTCTCTGATAAACACCTGTATTCCTTTAACAGACACACCTGTTCTTATCTAACAGACACACCTGTACCTCTAACAGACAGACATGTACTCCTTTAACAGACACACCTGTACTTCTCTTACAAACGCTATATGCTTTTCTCTGATAAACACCTGTATTCCTTTAACAGACACACCTGTACTTCTCTGACAAACACTATATGCTTTTCTTTGACAAACACACCTGTACTTGTGTATCAATATACACTCTTTACATCCTTAACAGATACGTTTAGAATGATTATTATACCCTATGATTTTTATAACCTCAGGAATGAAGTTGGGGTATACCAGAATTATCCTCTTAGGACATTTATTTGCAAATCTTGTGTGGGAAACTATTCCTAAACTTGTGAACCAATTTCAATAAAAGAACACAAGAATGTTATAGACCAGATGTGTAGATGCAGATGAAGTCTATTTTTAGCAGGAATTTTGGTTGCCATGACAACCAGGTCACTATAAACAGGTTTTTGGTTGATAATGAAATGGTGTAATTCATTCAAGTCAGTAATTTGGTACATCAGGCATTTCCAGAATCGTTACTATGGTAACAGAGTAGAGGCTTTTGTTTGGTCATATTGAGGTATTGTCCAATTAAGCTGAATATGGTTAATGGGTTGGAGAACAATCAGTACTATGTTCTTCACCATTGCTCCTCTTTTGGTTGCAAAGGTAACCAATACAAGGTTTTCTTTGCATCAGTTGGGGTTATTATACCCCCTTGCAATAAAGTTAGGAGGGTATCCTGAAATCAGCTTCTCTAACCATCTGTCTGTCGATAGAAAAATTTGGTGCGGACAACTCCTCCTAAACTGCTGGATCAATTTCAATAAAACTACACAGGAATGTTAGGGACCATGTGTAGATGTGCATACAACATTTTTTCCAGCAAAATATTGACTGCTATGGTAACCAGTCAATTTAAATAGGATTTTGCTTGGAAAGTTTGTCATGACAGGTTCTCCTAAACTTAGTATCAGTTTCTTTTTCGCAAGACATAAATGTAAGTGTGCATTCTTCCCATATTAAACATGAAGTGTGTGGTTGCCTCAGTAATAGGTCATTATAAGTAGGATTTTTCACCAAAATTTTTGTAAATCTATCATAATTACATTGTCAATATTATAAAACTGTATTTTGTAAATGACAGGACATGGGAGGGGGTTAGTCAGCCATTAGCTGACAGTTCTAGTTATCTCAGGATGATATTTGTTGTCTATTCAGGTATTTATCACTCTGTGTCTTTTGTTATACTTTGCAGCTTTGCTCCCAATGGCCTCTTATTGAAGGATATACAGTGTAGACAACCAGAGACGACCAATCTTCTCTTCTCTGCTGAGGTCAAAGGTCAATCAGATGTGCTTGTCCAGTGTAAGACTGACCACCCTTTCTTTGTTAAAGACAAAGGTAAGATGATGCCAATATATTAGATTAATTTCATAAAGTGACAGATGTTGAAAATTCAAGTTTCGTTATTGGACAGTAAATGTCCTTTTATCAAAATTTCATTCTGATTCCTAGATGGTGATGTGATTTAAGCAGCAAACTGGTACAAAGTCAGTCATCTGTAAAACAACTAGACAAAGGTGCTGACGTAATTATGATAATTGATACTGACACTTGTTATATAATGATATGTCCTTCCTCCCCAGGATGGGCGTCTCTTAATGACACAATGACAGCAGAACACTATGGTATCCCTTGTAATCAGTTGGAAATAGGGGACCTATGTCTTCCTCCGTCCCATCCTGATGCAGCTTTTGGTACATTCCAAAGGTAAAGTAATCACATGCACTGTACACGTCATAGACATGTAATAAGCATACTAATATTACAGTTATTAAGCAGAAATATCATGTTTAACTGCAAAGCCCCTGCCCACAAATAAGCCCTCGTCTTCATTTTTGCGGGATTGTCATGTAGTAAACTTCTACGATAGAAGAGGGCTTATTTTACGATGAACACGGTACCAACAAATTGTCCTTTATTAAGCTCTCTGTAAATTAATTGGGAAACAAAGCATATATCAGTCACTCTAATTGGTCCAGATTGAATCAGATGAGGAATCTTGCTGTTAGGGAAAATTGGAGTACCTGGAAAGTACCCATATGGTTGGCAGGGGAAACTATACCATTTTATGGGCAATTGGGGAATCGAACCCCGGTCATCTGGGTAAAGGTCTGTGCCACCTAGCATCACTTAGCTCACCCCTACTCTTAGTCAGGATTTATATGTTGAACACATGGAGGCTGATGGCACATTAGATATGGTTTATACATGTAACTGAGTTAGATTCTCTGATCCAGCTGTCTCAGTATATACAAGCAGTCTATGTTTTAAGGAGATTTCTGATTAAAATCTTGAGCAATTCACTATCAAGCCACAGGATGCTTGTTAGAGAAAGGCTCAGGACCTGATTGCTGTGAGAGATAACTTTCTGCATTGATTTACAAGTAATGAATACAATGCATTATTACCAAAATAGATTTCATGGATGTAATTAATTTTAATCCCATAATTGGCCTGTTATTGGCCATGTAATATTTTTTCGTAAATGTCACTTGTGTTATATACCCAAAAGCAGTTTTCATTGGCTGTGCCAGTCAAAAATTGATAGTGATGTTGTAATATGAACACTGTTGAATGGCTGCCTGTTTTTTCCTGCACACTTTGACTTGTTAAAACAGAACTTCATTGAGTTATGTGATAGAAATTATCTTATATTTATTTAATTTCAGATGAGATTTTATGAAAATTGTCTCAACAAAAATAACATTTTCTAAGATTTGTTTCTTAAAATCCTAAATCATTTAAGATCCTATATATGGGGGGTACATGACCAAAGGTTTTTGCTGTTTAACTTTTGATTTTTTGGCCATTTTGTCATTAGGGAAAAAAAACCTGAAGGTGGTTTAATATTCCAAATAAAAGCTGAAACACATGTGAACAATACTTTCAGGCAAATACAACATTAGGCAAGGAATAGTTTTTGTCCAGGGTGAGACAAAAGGAAAAAAAAAGAAAAAAGTTGTGTGAATGTCTTCAAAGTTCCATGTTTTGCTAGTAAACTACATTGGTATACCAAACATTACAAAGTAATGTGATCTTTGTTTAGATCAATAACCTTTATTTTTACCTGTAGTAATAAGAGAAACTATTGAATTACCCAATGTTATGTGTGTGCTATTTATATATCTCATTTTTATCCACAGTGACACAACTAGTCCAAGCTACACATCTGCCGTATTCACACTCAGTAACATGGCTCAGGTAAACATATCTGGCATAAGCTACACGACATTGACCTCTTGATCAATAAAACAATAGCTTTTGTTTTAAAACATTTGTGCCAATATTACACTTTCTATATAGTGGTAAATTTCAGGTGGTTTATATTATTAATAAACCATATTAGACACTGAGCAAAGATCAACTGTATAATCACTAACATACATAAGTACTTAGTTTCACACATGGAAAGCCACAAAGGGGAATTTTGTTTGAAATAGTATTTTGCCATTCTGTTGAATTAAGGTGTGTATTACTCTTTGAATGATTAAAGTTGATAGTAAACATTGTTATACGTAGATTTGGACCATTATAAATGTGTACCCATGAAGTACTAAATCTCCCCTTCATGCAAGCTTCACCATGTCATGGATGAAAGGGATTCTCTGTTATAAAAGCATTGAGGTTGGACACTTGTCAGGAGAAAAAGTGCACATGCCTGACCCCTTTGACTGTAAACTATCATTATTTTACTGTTTGATTTTTTCTAAACAGCAGAGGAATCAGAGGGAACTGGAAGTAAGCCCAAAACTGACCACTGGGCAAGCAACTAGGAAGCGACCGATCAAAACAGAATCCTTGAAGGCCAAGAGACCAATGAACGGTTTCATGTTGTTTGCTAAAGAGCATCGCCTGGAGTATACCCAAATGTTTCCAGGGAAGGACAATAGGTATGGTCTTTAGCACCACTTCAGTTGTATCTCTGTTTACTAGGCAGCACAACACTCATTCTGATATAAAACCATCAGCTCACCAGACAGGGACAACAGGTTTGGTCTACACTAACACAACACTCATTCTAATATAAAACCGTCAGCTCACCAACAGGGACAACAGGTTTGGTCTACACTATCACCACACTCATTCTGATATAAAGCTGTCAGTTCACCAGACAGGGACAACAGGTTTGGTCTACACTAACACAACACTCATTCTGATATAAAGCTGTCAGTTCCCCAGACAGGGACAACAGGTTTGGTCTACACTAACACAACACTCATTCTGATATAAAGTTCTGAGTTCACCAGACAGGGACAACAGGTTTGGTCTACAGTAACACAACACTCATTCTGATATAAAGTTCTGAGTTCACCAGACAGGGACAACAGGTTTGGTCTACAGTAACACAACACTCATTCTGATATAAAGTTCTGAGTTCACCAGACAGGGACAACAGGTTTGGTCTACAGTAACACAACACTCATTCTGATATAAAGTTCTGAGTTCACCAGACAGGGACAACAGGTTTGGTCTACAGTAACACAACACTCATTCTGATATAAAGTTCTGAGTTCACCAGACAGGGACAACAGGTTTGGTCTACAGTAACACAACACTCATTCTGATATAAAGTTCTGAGTTCACCAGACAGGGACAACAGGTTTGGTCTACAGTAACACAACACTCATTCTGATATAAAGTTCTGAGTTCACCAGACAGGGACAACAGGTTTGGTCTACAGTAACACAACACTCATTCTGATATAAAGTTCTGAGTTCACCAGACAGGGACAACAGGTTTGGTCTACAGTAACACAACACTCATTCTGATATAAAGTTCTGAGTTCACCAGACAGGGACAACAGGTTTGGTCTACACTAACACAACACTCATTCTGATATAAAACCGTTAGCTCACCAGACAGGGACAATAGGTTTGGTCTACGGTAAAAATTGTAGAAAGCACTTGAAATACAGACTTTTTGCCATATAGCCTATTTGCATTACCAGCATTGCATTGGAGAATGATTTAATACATATAATGCAACATAAACACTTTAACAGTATCTTGGTATAATGGAAGACAAATTATTTATATCTAATGTTGATAGGTCCATCAGCATCCTTCTTGGTGATAGATGGAAAGAAATGAACATGGCGGACAGGAACGCCTACTCTGAGAAAGCTAAAGTACTTGCTGAACAACAGAAGAAGATGCATCCTGACTGCTGGAAACGCAAAAAATGAAAATTTTGGTATTATAAAAGGTATGTTCTTTTACCTTACTGAGATGGTTTCAATAAGTATACTGTTTTTAGGTGTCTAAATTTTCAGTTTATGAATGAGTTCTGCATCCTCATAGATAGTCATTAATAGATTAATGAATGATGTAATGAATGAACAAATATTTTATTTAATCTGTGTTAATCAACCTGCGACTATTATAGAACTTTGTGACATTCATTATGACTCAACTTATGATTTTGCTGGCCATTGAGTTATAGATGGATTTATATAATATTGGCATCAAGAGTTGAAAATGCTGTTCTCTGATGGTTTGGCTTTCGGTCATAAGTGTCTTTTGTACCAATTTGCCAATGTTTGAAAACCCTACTCTATCACCACATCACTACTTGAAGAGATAAGCACAACCCTGCTACAATGATTAGCCTAAGTTTGTTGCTATGTCCCTTGAAGCTTGATTCTGAATAGAAATACTGATACATTGATTTTAAGTCCCTGATGGGTTGAGGGACAGAATCTAAATGAAGATAAAATCATCTATGAATCGAACTCTGATGATTTGAATACTTGGATGTATCAAAGTTTTTATCCATTTTTTATTCCTGTATATTAATTCTAACTTACCCCCTTATGAATCGAAGTTTTTCATAAATCAGATTTTTTGATATATCGAAGATTTTCACGAACTGTAGCTATGATAACATAGACAATGACACGTCATGATTCGAACAAAACATTTACCTGCACTGTACAGGTGTTTTCGCCCCGTGGATAAATTTCAATTTTGATAGCCCGCAATTCTTAGCATTGTGTTACAACGTTAATTAATGACTGGACTCAGATTAAAATTTAATTGCTTACTTACAAGATATGATATCAAGTCAAAGATGATGGGACATTGTGTGATGTTCACCGCAGCCATTGTGCTAATTAAGTTAGGTCTAATTTACGGAATTATGAAAACAATTGAAGTAAATACTATCACTTGTATGATGATTTCACTCATTCCCAAAGTGTCACTTTTTAGTTTTAAGCATAAAAGCACGAGAAACATGGTAATTTATCTGTCAATCATGTGTTCTCTGATTGATTCAGACTCGCCGTCATCAGAACATCAGCAAACACTCTTGTAATTTCTATGACTGAAGATGTGTGATGTTGGTGCTGTCATTTCTGGACAGAAAACATTATGATATTAATTTGCTTTCTTTTAAATTCATTATTGCCTAAAACGTGCATGTATCAGTATTAAAATAATTACAGTAACATGTGAAAACCACTTAAATGCTGCGCATTGTGTCATTTAAATTCAATTCGTTAAATGCATATACTGTGACGTGAAGGATTGATTTCTCGTTGCTTTCTCTTTAGAGTTATGTTTTTTTTCACAAATGAAAAATCCACATCTACCACCCAGTTATTTTATTTCAACAAAATTTGCTGTGATATTTGATGTCTGCTTTGTTACAGACATGAAGACAGCTTGACATCAGATCTCATTTACATGTATCACTGCCAACTTCTTGGGTTTTGCCTGTGCAGCAATCTTTAGGGCACCCAAGGAGGACTTATTAGCATTTTACTAGTTCAACAACTTTTTAAGTGTCTATTTTGTTAATTTTGCTCCACAAAGAAGCAACACTTTATTTAGTCACCACAAATCTGAAAATGTAAGTATATTTTTTTTACTTATGAATTCCATGAGACATAGCAATCATCTCTTGTGTGTATAATTACAGGTTTTCTAAGGAAGCACAGAAATATACTGAGTTTGAATGTCCAAGAAATTTTTTTTTTTGTTGGAGTTATCTCCCTGTTACAGATTTGTTGTTGTAGTCAGACACAATGACCTCTGTTGACCTCATATCACCATAGTGATGTCAGGTGAGTCAATATTCATATAGATATGTTTAATAGATACATCGTCCACTGTCACCTAACAATCAGTTGAGACATCCAGGGGCATTCATACCAATGGTATATAGTACATGTACACATTATACACAATAAATCTTTGGGCATACTTAAAAGTAGAAAATTACCAGATAGTCAATGTCAAGGTCAACAGCAATTGGACCAGTCCACTTGGGACTATCAGATATTTCTGTTTTGTTATCATGTTATTTATGATATTATGACTAATCTGTTATTTATAGAAAATTGTATTATTTTTCTGTAGACAATATCTGTCATTTCTAGACCAACTGAGATTTTATCATCCTAAGAAAGGTAATTTCATATTTCATATAACATTTTGATTATTTGAGTATTTTCAGTGATTTAAGAAAAAGAGAAAATAGGCAATTAATAAAAATGAATTGATAAACAGGTACTCTTTTGAAATACCGGCTTTTCTTGTAAATAGAAAAATTATATAGATTGTCATATTTAAGAAAATTAAACCATTATCAAATAAAATTTGGCAATTTAATTCAAATCAAATTAACTTCAAATGTTTTAGGAATTGTTTTAACTACCAGTAATTTGAATTCAAACAAACAATCACAGATTTTTCGTTTTGTTTAAAGTCAGCCTTTAGAAAACAAGGAGAGAAAAAGAAGTTTTAGTTTGATTTATTTTACATGTTGGAGTTAGTGCTAATATAACACATTATGTGCACTTAAATTGCTCAGTATTGATGTGCAGTCACATTCCCAATTTTTATGTGGAAGTGAATATTTCCTGTGTTATATGTGGAGAGGTACAAAACATTTCATGTGTTTTATTTTGGAGTGTGTGCCACATTCCTGATGTTTTATGTGAAGACATACACAACATTACGTGTGTTATATTTAGGAGTGTGTGCCACATTCCTGATGTTTTATGTGAAGACATACACAACATTACGTGTGTTATATTTAGGAGTGTGTGCCACATTCCTGATGTTTTATGTGAAGACATACACAACATTACGTGTGTGCCACATTCCTGATGTTTTATGTGAAGACATACACAACATTACGTATTCCTGATGTTTTATGTGAGGACATACACAACATTACGTATGTTTTATTTTGGAGTGTGTGCCACATTCCTGATGTTTTATGTGAAGACATACACAACATTACGTATGTTTTATTTTGGAGTGTGTGCCACATTCGTGATGTTTTATGTGAAGACATACACAACATTACGTATGTTTTATTTTGGAGTGTGTGCCACATTCCTGATGTTTTATGAAGAAATATCTACACTAGTTTGGAAGCATTTTACGGTCTTTATATTCTATTTATATATATTATTTATATGAGTTATTGATTTTATTATGTATTTTTTGCATAGAAGTGTGCAAATCCAGTTGTTCTCGTAAGTGCTTTTAGTTTATATCAAGTCATTTGTGAAGTTAAACTTATGACTCTAAGCATATATTGTGCTAGCTTGTTTGTAAATAAGAAATGTTAAAATATTTTTGTGTATTCTATGATGGTTGTCCATTTAAAATTTTGATTGCAAGTCTTTTAAAGTTACAGAGGTTCTAGTCTTAATTGGAGTTGTATGAAATCAGTTGGTGCCATATATGTTGTTAATTCCATTTCTTGTCAACACTATATCTTCCTGTGGAGATATTGTTATCTTTATGTAACTTTGATACATTTCTTAAGAAACAGTGCTTGTGTGACACTCACAGTGCTTGTTTATGGTTTCATTTAGAGCTTAGATTATTTTTGAAAGCCAATTCATTTATGATATGTAATTTCCTTACTTAATTCAAAGAAAAACAACTTTTCTTTTAAATGTTGTGATTTCACTGTTGAAATTGGCTGTTTGTTACTGAAAATAAAACATGCTTACTCTTGATGTTTAGGTCGTCTGAGCCGAAGGCTCATAGTGACCTATTGCCATAATAATTTGTCTGTCGTTGTGCGTTGTTAACTTTTCACATAATCGACTTCTTCTCAAGAACCACTGGATGGATTTTGACCAAACTTGGCACAAAGCATCCCCATGGGAAGCCGCTTGAAGTTTGTGAAGAAAAAGGGCATGGCCCCAGTAGGGACCCCTGGAGGGGGAAAAGGGGGGTAAAATTAGGTAACTCTTTAAAAATCTTCTTCTCATGAACCAACATTCAGATTAAATTCATTTTTGATATTTAGGGTCCTTATGGCAAGGTCTACAAAGTTTGCGAATGAAAAAAAATATCGGGTCAAAACGGCCCCACTAGGGGGCGCTCAAATGGGTCAAAAATTAAACTGTGACCGATTTCAACCAAATTTGGTAGAAAGCATCCGTTAGTGAAGGACATATGAAATTATGTTGAAAAAAAGTGATTGTGTCCCCTTTGTGGCCCATAAGGGGTGTAAAAGGGGCCATATGTAAAAACCTTCTTTAAATGACTTCTTCTCAAGAACCATTGGATGGATTTTGACCAAACTTGGCACAAAGCATCCCCATGGAAAGCTGCTTCAAGTTTGTGAAGAAAAAGGGTGTGGCCCCAATAGGGGCCGCAGGAGGGGGGGAAAGGGGAAACTTGATACAAATGTTCTACACAAGGTCCGGTCAAGTGTTTTAACTTTTTGGAGCAATTCAAAATCCAAGATGGCCACCCTGGCCTCTGTTTGGCTAAGACATTATTGACTTCCTCTCAAGAACCATTGGGTGGGTCATGTTCAGACTTGGTACAGATGTTTTACACTTGGTCCAGCACAAGTGTTGTTAACTTTTTGCAACATTTTAAGATCCCCAGATTATTGACATATATTCCTCAGGTGACCGTTAAGGCCCCTTGGGCCTCTTGTTAATAGATGTCTTAAAAAGTGTCAATCAAGTCATATTTGATAAATAACATATCCATTGAAGTGGGAGATTATGTTGTGTTTTAAGAGATTTCATCTATTTCAGTTCATTTTATCACATTGTGATAAGAACTAAATTCAGCATCATTGGTTTCAATATGCCTTAATTCATTGTAACAACACTAAGGTCAGGATTATTGACAGTAACTGTCCTGATCAGAATATCATAGAGTCATATGTCATCTTCTTCGTGTGCCATTTTGGCATTTTGAGTATGGGTTTTTCTGTGTTCTTAATTTTGGAAATCAACTTGATAGATTCAAATTGACATAAATTAAGTCAGATTGACACAGATTCAGAAATAAAATAACCCAAGCTTTTTAAACTGATAACAATTCAGGATTCCCATTGAAGATTGTATTTTTTTGGTTGATATCTGAAAAGTTTTGTTTGTGACTTTCACTCTGAATGTCCATTTCTTATATGAAGCATGTCATTGCTTTTGTGAGTATTTTACAATGAAATGTGTTTATTTGTTGCTGTAAGCTTGACCCTGGTTTCTAGAATTGAAAATGATAAACTTCTAGTTTTCTCGATAATGAAGTCTCATATATTTTGGAAAAGGATTTGTGGTAATGCATTTTTTAAAAAGAAACGTACGTTGTTTATGAAAATACATTGCAAATTTCAACTTTTTTTCTTTATTTTTTTTAAGTGGTGAATTTTTATTTCAATTTTAAAAGTGAACTGTTATCAAAATTTTAGTAGTGAATGCGTTGTGATATACTTAATAAAATTAAAGTTGAAAGTCAACAGTTTAATTTAGTGGAATTGAAATCAGGACAAGCACTTGCTCTCATAATGTGATCTGTACAGTGTTGCATCCTCCCATCAGTCGAAGGTTTTGTTGTGACAAAAGGTTTGTTTATTTATACTCCAGAGTATTAAAGGTCATGTAAAAGCCATTCCATCACAGGAAATTTTTACAATACGTTCTCCTATATAATGTGTTTCATGGGAGAATTGATTGGTAGATATGAAATATGTATCACGTTATGATCTCAGATATCAAGGTAAATATATTTATTAATCAATGTTGTATTTAAAGGAGAGAAAGTATGATTTGATGATGAAAATACTATATCAACAACTCAATATGTCTTTTGATATTATATGTTTGATATTTATAATTGAATCATTATATTCACATTAAGTTTGATTTCATTGCATGTTGAAGAAATCGTGCCATCATTTTTTATTGATGAAATCATGTCAGTATGGACTTACCTGTATGGTGTGGATAAACAACATGAAGATAAAAATGTTCTTGATCCATTCATACCTGCATGTATATGTCCCATATTGCTTCATCTTATTCATGGTAAAATATCAGTAGTAGTAGTGTGAACATGAATTTCATCATTGTCTAACAATGATATATTAGAGAAGTGTGTTTGTAACAGACTTAGGTGTCTGTATTGTAACAATGGGAGAGAGGGTAGCAACAAAACTAACAATTGTTGATGATAAATCATTGCAATGAAGCATAATATCAATTATCAACCGACTAATGATGTAAGTCTTCTGTAACATATGGATATTATCGAGCACATTCATTTTAAGACATACATGAACTTACTTATGTTAAATCATTAGTAACTGATAACATAAAAATACAAATAGAATAGTTATAGATGATGTTAGAAAGCAGAATAGTACTGAAAAACCAGACATTGGGATAACAGAATTAACAGGTGTAATAAATACAGCTAAGTTATCTTTTTAAGTTCAACTTTTGAAGTTGTGAATATTTCAAATTCATGATATAGGCATTGATTATCAATCTTGGTAGCCCTGTCGCTGGACATAAAACAACATAATCAAGTTTCATTTTGTTTAAACTAATTGTTAATGCATGTTCATGTTACTACCTTTACCAGGCAGCGTTTCTACATACGTGCAGCTAGCATTTGGGTTGAGGTATTTAGATTCAGATCATTCCTTCTCTCAGTACACGTTATTTTGTACAGTTTTTTTTACAT